TTGGACTACGGTACCTACTAGCCTAGGTAAGCTGAACTTGTTGCCAGCGTTCGCATTGTTGCTTGCATGCTCTCGTGAACGCTTTGTGATTTGTATTTAACGGTAGTCAGAAATTAGAGTGAACTTGTAGGCGGAAGGTGAAAGCCTCTAGGCGAAAGCAAAAAGGCACGCCGCACGATCGTCTGCAAGCGACAGAACCCTGTGTTAAGACCACCTCAGCTATTGGCAGCATTGCTTCAGTAGAGACCCATGCTGGGGCATGCCAAGTCTCCGATCCCTGCACTTGAGCTCTGCTGCTATGCAAGCGGTTGCAAATCGTCTCGGAACCCAGCTTCTTCCTGCATCTGCGTCACACCACCACTTTTTTCAGTTTCCGCCAACCACCACTAGATTTACACTCCCTAGAAGCGTTGTTTCGTGTCCTCCACCACCCCTTTCTAGTTGCAGCAACCCCAGAGCACGATTGTATGATCCATTCAAAACCTCTGTCACCCTTGCAACCAATCGCCACTTCTCGTACGCACCGCAGCTTCCCAATGTCTTGGGCGCTCGAACGCACCAATTGGACGGCGCCAGCTCATGCCTTCCTTTGAACCCTTGGGCGCCAAGACCACTTTCGGGGTTTCAGGGAGCTGATCAACACATTGCGCGGCGTCGCTTGGCGGCTCTGGTGAAATCAGCGATGGACCCGTCTCAAGTGGAGGTGCTCCATACTCAGAACGCTCTGCACAAGCTCACAGTTAGCGACCTGCGGGAGTTCATCAGGTCAGATATCAGCTGAAAAAGTTGTGGGTATATCTGGTTATGTTGAGTATCTAGTTTTCTGGAACCCTCAAAGTTCCGAGTGTCAGAGCTTAGAAAGCTTTCAACAGGTTTGAAAGATGGAATTGGACTTGGACAGCGGCTTGGCACAATCAAAGATCCCCCGGGCCACAGCTAGCATTGACCCCTCCTACCTGCTTCTCAGACCTTTATTGGACAAAAGCAAACGATGAGTTTCGGCAACCTTTTTAAAGTCAGTATCTTCTTTAAAGAGAGATGGGTGACTCTAATACAAAAGTAGAGGCCAGGCCCGGAGCGCAGACAAGAAAGATGCAAGAAGAGGCTTTGGGTAGTCTTTCTTGAAATCGCATCTCAAATATTCTCAGAATCATGTCTTTCCACTTATGCAGGTTGAAAGCGATCCAGGCCCCGTCGAATGCGAAAAAGGTTGAGCTGATAGCGTCCGTCAGCGAGTTCCTCGCATCTGAGGAAAGCATTGAGACTCTAGCTCAAGAGTCAAACACGGTGGCAGTGGCAGAAGAAGAGGTTCCAGCAAAAGACACACGCACCGCTTCTAAGAACAGGGCGGGATCTCAAGTTGACGACACAGAGGGCAGTGTTGCGGCGGTTGGTCGGAAGTCTCGAAAACGAGGGGCCGGGGCGGCGAAAGACCGAGAGGCTTCCGGGGTGGTTCTTGCGGGGGAGGATGCTCAAGATGCAGTATCGCCACAAAGAAGAAGTACACGCTCACGAAAAGACTCGTTGTCTCGACCTGCCGAAGAACCGCCCGCTCTTAGCAAAGCGAACGAGGTTGGGGAGGAAAACGGCCGGCCGAAGCGTGCCCGCCGGCAGAGCACTGGCAGCCCTGAAACGGCAAAAAAACCGCCCCCATTGAAACGGAAGCCAAAGACTGGGGTTTTGAGTTTGACGCAAGCGCAGAGCACGGTCGAGGTTACGGAAGTTCAGAGTGATGTCGTCGACGGGGCGTTGGTCGAGAAGAAGCGAACAAAGAAAACGACCGTTGCGCGCGGGTTCGGGCTGAAAGGCGACGTTGGGAAAGTTGAGATTTCGCAGAGCGAGGAGTCGTGGAGCCACTTAGTGCACAAGAAAGCGGAGCCGGATTGGATCGCGTATAACCCGGGGTTGATGCGCCCCCCACCTCCCAAGGGGCCGTTCAAGAAGGTTGTCGGCTGGAATGTGGCTGGGCTACGCGCGGTGTTGAAACTGGAGCGGCGATGGTTTGACGAGATCGCAGAGAAGGAACGGCCGGATGTCATCTGCTTGCAGGAGACCAAGATCCAGGTGGGTACGGTCGGGCAGCTAGCTCGTTGAGCATATTCAACTGACGTGGGAAAAGAGATGTGCATCCATTTTGCACGGCCCTTGTTGTAAGTATGAGTCGGTGCTCTTTTTGCCCATCACTTAAACCTACGAGTACCTTGATGCTTGTTCCCTGGCTTCCTTATGGGTCATCCGTCGTGCGCGTCGAGTGGACTTCGAGTCGGCAGCGCCGCTGTAAGAAACTGAGCATGGATACGAAGCGTGTAGCTGTCGTGGCACTTCAACAGAGCGTATATCAGGAACGCGCTTGATGAGGATAATCTATTGACCCGCTCATTGCGAAAATCGATCTTTCCACCGGATTTGGAGTTTACAAAACTCTGTCTCCGGCCGATCTTAGATGCCGACTTGTACGCCTTTGTACCAAAAAGTCTGTGCCTGCACGTGGCACCGACGCCAAGAATTCCGAACCTTTCAACGTGAGCCCTTTACCTTTTCGTGCAGGAGAAGGATATTGCGTCGGTCGAAGAGGGACTGCTCCCGGGGTATCACAAGTTTTGGGCGACTAGTTCAGCGAAGCTGGGCTACTCGGGGGTCGCCCTCTTCTCCAAAGTAAGCGCCTGCTTGCGGGCAGCCCAGGTTCGACTTCTTGTTACGCATTGTGCATCGTTTCATAACGGTCTTTAAGCTTCGAATCGGAACAGAACCAACACCAGCTTCCTTTACTCCGGTCGGCACCACCTGCTTCTCTCCAGTTTGGATTTCTGAGTGGAGCCCGCTTCGTCAGAACGAAGAGTGTCGAGCTACCATATATCCGGTGTGCATTTCTAGAGTTGATCAACGTGTATGCTTTATGCTGCTTGTGCGGCAGGGTTATTACGTTTGCGTCTTCATCCGACTGTGGAACTTGTAGTGCTTCAACAATCTAGCATCTCCGTATGTTTGGACTCGAATGCGAAGATCACAATCAGTCACCGTTCTCGTCCGTACCCTCTGTGTGAACAGGCCTTCCTTTGTTCACTCCTGCACCTATCTCTTCGTCAACGGCCATTCACATCGATGCGAACGGCCACCCTTGCCTCTATCCAATGGGCAGTTGCTTGACCATCAAATAGATGTGAATGACCCCGCTTCGGTGTGAACGCCCACTCTTTGCCTGCAGGAGGAGCCCCTGTCCGTCCGATACGGGCTGGGCATTCCGTCGTTGGACGCGGAGGGCCGTCTGATCACGGCGGAATTCGCGGACTTTTTCGTGGTCTCCGCGTACGTTCCAAACTCCGGCGACGGGTTGAAGCGGTTGGAGGAGCGGACGCAAGTCTGGGACCCCGCACTGGCGCAACACCTCAAGGTGGGTTAAGATAGTTTGCGTAACCTGAAAACTCGCAGAATATTCCTTGCGAAAATTTTCTCTTTCTAAAATCCTAAGATCTGGCGACGGTTGAAGCGGTTGGAGGAGCGGGCGCAAATCTGGGACCCCGCTTTGGCGCAGCACATCGAGGTGGGTTAAGAAGGTTTGTGTAACCTGACTTATGTGTTCTGGCTAAATCCTTGAGAGGTTCTGAGGCTTTTGCAAAAGGTCCTCATGTGAGACCCGAGTTTCTTGGACCTCCCGAAAGCACCGAAAGCACTAGCGGTCGTCCATGGATCACTCAAGTCCGAGGCCCCGGAATCGGCGCAGCACTGAAAAAATACTCTCAGAGTTTTGTGATCTGCGCCCTTCGCTCATTCTCTGACATGGGCCGCGACCTCGTTGAGAAGATTGGGCACTCAGAGACGGGTCTATTGCTTATTTGTAATGGAAAAAGGGCGGCCGATGCTGGCGTGTTCGTCCTCTTCGAAATAGAGTGGACGGAAAACTTCCCCTCGCTTCGCAGGGACTGGAGGCGTCGAAGCCCGTGGTTCTGACGGGAGATCTGAACGTAGCCCATCAAGAGATCGACATCTGCAACCCGGATGTGAGTCCGCCTTTTCTCGTTTGAAGACGTCAGCGTGACGTCAGCACCCGATCAGCACGATGGCAGCCTTACGGCAGGGATGCATTAGCATCTAAGATGACGTCAGCTTCTTAAGGAACTGGGTACGAGCACGCTTGTGCCGGCCAAAAGCTAAAGTTTCGTGTACCTAATAAGCCTTGTTCCTTGATCAACAAGGCTTGCTTGCATAAACCTGCAAAATATAGAGCTGCGCCCCGGCCGAAACATCTCTATTGCGAATCCCATCTGGCTATTTCCAGATCCCTAGGTACTTCAACAGCTCATTGGCTGGCTCGTACACAAAGTCTATCGCATCTGCTTGTCTTTCGTGCTCATTCGCTGACGCATTTGTCCTTTCTGTTGCAATCATTCGCTCTTCTACAGTAGAAAGCAATCTCTACAAACCACTTTTTCCTATGGTCATTTCTTTTTGTACAAGCTTAGGCACCTGGGCCCATGGCGCAGAGGCAAGCAAATTCGGCGTTCGGGCTTCATCAAAAACTGTTCCTATTGTAGTTACCGAGCGGTTACTAACAACGAAGCAACATGACTAAAATGACATGCTAATCCCAGGGCAACAAGCGGAGCGCTGGCTTCACCGTTGAGGAACGCGAGTCGTTCGAGCGTCTGATAATGGCCAACGGTTTCGTGGACACGTTCAGACGTCAGCATCCGAAGGCGGTCGGGTACACGTACTGGGGCTACCGCTTCAACTCGCGCGCCAGCAATCGAGGCGAGTTCCGGTTTGTTGTTTTTATTTTTCTTTACTTTTCTCTTTTTGCTTCTTCTACTTCTGAGTTCAGTGCGTTATGCAGCAAACGGCTAGTCAGGAGACTCACAGCAATGCGATGCAGTTTGGTTCGTTGTGCAATCTTTCTTGCGGTGAAGTCGCTGTAAGGGGGCGTGGCAATACACAAAAGCGTAGCGGCAGAGGACTAGAGAACACTAGTATCTGGTGGCCCGATTATTACCGCGTGGTCATGCGCTGACGTCATTTTCTGGCGACCAGCTGGCAGTAACTAATGGCCCTCTGTCGCTGTTGACGTCACCTGTGGACGCGTCCGCCTTCGCCCTCTTCAGTGAAATGAGACGACGACTAGGCCACTGACTACTAGTTATCTTTTCCCCGCGCAGGATGGAGATTAGACTACTTCGTTGTTTCAGAAAAGCTCGCGCCTCTAGTTCACGATTCGTACACTTTACCGAACGTCTTGGGGAGCGATCACTGCCCCGTCGGCTTGATAGTAAAGACTTGACTCGATCAATGGCCGTATCTTGAGAGTGCCTTCTTTGAGATTCCTAGTTGCGCTTCGACCGACGCAGAGTTTGCACGTACTGATACTTGAAGGTCTCGCGGAATTTGGATCACGTAGAACAGCATGCTTTACAATACCCCCAGAAAGATGTGGGCGTTCGCAAAGGTGGCCCCTGTATTGATTGGGGCAAGCAATGTGAGAAACCGTGACCCTAAGCAGCAGTAGAAAGGAGCGTCCTTAAATGAAAGATGATTCGTGTTGAGTTTATCAGTCTTTTTGAGCCATGTATCTTGTGTGCACAGTATTCTGAGTATAGATCTACGAACAGGCGTTCTAGCGGGTCAATGTATTGCTGACCTGATTGGTTGCCAATGGGCAGAGTCGGTTGCGAGCGTTTGGAATTGGCAGTTCCCCATGCACTGACACGCACATAGGGCGCATGACCGCCAACTTCGAACACAATTGGACGGCTTTCGGAAGCTACTATGCGTTCACCATCTCGTTGATCCGGGTCCAATCGGGCATCCATGCGCCGGATATATGCTTCAAAGTTGACTTTATTAAGCACCGCGCAGCACGATGGTCTGCAACATTACTGCAATTCATGCATGTGATGGTCTTCATTCGTTCTCGCCGTAGCGTCAGGTTGGAATAGGCCGTATACAGGCTTCTCATGGCATACACGTATCAAAGATGTGTGTGTCTCAATTCCAATAAGAGCATGCATATATCCTCCGGACAGCTGCTAACATCCTCAGGTGGCTGGCAGCTGTTTTCACTCTGTTCGACGTGCAACTAACATAAGGACAGATTTTTTTGGAGAAGGCGGACCTACTTCAGGCTCTGTTCAATGCCCTTCTCATGCCAGCTAGGGCTTCAAGCTTCTCAGCGCAGACCCTCGTCAACCGTTGTACTGCAGTCACAAGCTTGCATGGGGAGGACCTATAACGAAAGGCTACCGTACTGTGGCCGGAAAAGCTAAACGTGCAAGACGACTACAGGCTTACCTACTCAATCAAGCTGCAATTCATCTGCATGTGGCAGCCACTGGCAGCGGCCGGCCGGCCGCGCCGCCGAGCCGGCCGGGCACTGGAGTTCAAACCTGCAAACCCCGCGCAGTAAACCCACACAAAAGGCCGCCGCGGCTTGGCGCCCGCGTCGCCGCCTTACCAGCGCCGCGCCCGGACCGTAACGCTACCTTGCTGAACTTGCGCCAGTTGCTGTCTGTCGCCTCAGCCTCATGCGCTTTTCTTTTTGAGATTGATTATATGTAAGTTGCTGCCGCGGGAGTCTGAGAAGCCAGAATTAGCCCGCAAAAAGAGCTTAGAGAGTCATTCGTTGAAGCATACAGCTTGGCCTGTTCAGCTCATGCTGCCGCAAGCTGTCAATACTGTATTGTTGTCGCCAATGTCTTCGGCAGTAAGATTGCAGTCAAGGCCAGTAAGCCGCTTTTCTACGGGCCTTTCTTTGCCCTATGGCGTCCGCCCCTCCATAAATTCCGCGTTCGAAGCTAGCGGTCGACTGGGCACATTTGTGTCAAGAAAGGTAATGTTAAAGGGTGGTCAGATCCTGTGAAGATTCCTTCGTGTCAACTTGAATTCGTACGGGATGCTGGCAAGTTGATAGGAATTGCTTTCAGGTGCATCCAAAGCTCGAAATAGCTCTTGACGACTGGTAGTCCTGGTGTGTTCTGGATTCTCAAGGTTGTGAACTACAGCAAGAAAGTGGAGTTGGCTTGTTTGTATCGCTGCTATACATGTCCGTCGCTACTCACAAGCGCGCAATCTGTTCTGCAGCTTCCTACAGCATCATGCGCTGCATCCATATTCGCAAAGTCTCACCTTAGCGTGTCCTCTGACAGCCACACCTTTCGTGGGCTCAGCTCCTCAAGACAATCCTTGTTGAAGGTATAGTTTGATCTTCTCAGCTCAGGTACCTGACTCAATTAAGTCACGCATTTCCAGGCTCCTGTACATCTATTAAGATAGTTTCTTGACATCTCAACAAGACAAATATTCCTGCTTATGTGACTGTCGGCCACATATGATCACGTCCGATTGCCATACTATGTGGTAGAGTTTGACTTTTGACTACTTCGCACGAATTAGGTCGCTTGTTCGGTATCTGCATTAAGTCCTTTCAGGAGCAGATCGTAAACTTGGGTACTGTAATGTGGAATTCATAATGCGTTCCCGACTGAAAGTTGTTATGATGCATTGCAGAGGAGCTCAGTCGATAAAATGCACAGGGGTGCCTCAACGCCTCCTACTGGCACCTTGTCGGACAGCGAAGGTTACGTTGAAAGAAACGAGTCCGATTTCACTAAGGAAGAACTCGATGACATAGAGGCATACACTATCGTCCACGTGGGCTATGACGAAACTGGCTTGCTCATGTGGATCTGGATCTGCCCCAAGAACTACAAAAAGGGGGTGCCAAGGTTGCGGGTTTCAAGGTCATATGGACAAGTGGTTTACAAAGACTGGTTCACGATGACAATCGAAGACAATCCAAGAACGTTTGGGGACAGAGGGAACATCTCTTCCGGCGACGTTCTTCTAGTCAAAAAGTTCATCCATAAGAATCGGACGGTTTTAGAAAGATTTTGGGAGCAAGAGGAGGATTATGATTGGACTGAACTTCTTGCTGATTTGCAGACGGTGTGACACCCAACTGGAGCTTTACCTCTTAACTGGCTTTTGACCATTTTAGCCTAGCATGCGCCGCATATGGAGTCTTTCTACAATATGCATGTCACTGCGCCCCGGCCGACTTGCATGCAATTGGAAAGCTTCATGATAAACCGTCGGGCATATACACTGAATCAGGCATAGGCCCGCCAGATTGGGCACAACTGATGTATACACCGTCTGGACCGCGACTCTACCAAAAATAAGTCAATGATACTCATCTATACTACTTATATCATTCGTATGATCGCGCGCGATTCAAAGATTTAATGTAGACTACATATTAACGATCTCGACCCGAAAAAACTTGGAGCTGCTGAAAGAAGGATTGCGCGCATGCGCGTTGCAACGTGCATATGTCGTTGAAAACGTTTCCACTTTCTCAATGTATAGGCCGCAATGCACACGCTGAAGCTATATCGCGGCGGCCCTGCCAATACACGGTGGCATCATTTAGCAAGTACGTGGACATAAAGCTAGCTGTACGGTAACGCGTGTGCACGTACAGGCTAGGACATGTATGTGCCCTGATGAAGATGAAATCAAACTTGTTACCTGATTTACTATTCCTAATGTCCCCACTGTTCCCATTATTCCCAATGACTGTTCTTGTGTGGACAGGTAAACTTTGTTTGAGATCCCTGTCCAATGCTCATGTCCGGCCGTTCAAATGAATTTGCCCGCTGGCGGCACACATGACTGGGGATGGCAGCGCTGCAAAATGCTAGCCTCTTCAATCCAAGCCTGCTGCTTCAGACATCCAAACGGTATACTCAAGTTTGCAATCAAGATTGGGCAAGAACGTTGTAGGGGAATGACAATAGGACTATCTCACTCATCATGACCAACCCGCGCAAGCTTTCGCTAAGCTCAACCGATGAACAAAATTCAAGCACGTCCCTGGAATTCGCCTCGCCGCTAACAAAACTCTACACGCGATTGCAAGACTGCAACTTCTTGTCTTCTGCCCGTTTGGGCACTTGCAAAAAATCTGCCTCGTGCTGACTCGAGCCTCGGTGCACGTTCAAATTGGCACGATGTCTATCAAACACAAACCCTGTGACCGAACTCTCGTTGACTAATATGACTAAAGCCGTGAATAAGCATCCCCCTTCGCTAGGGCTTACAATGTTCCGTGGACTGAGTTGTCGCCGACAGTCGTAGCCTGGACCAGATTGGCGCCATGGACTTGGCCCTCAGCCTCCATCGAATTGGACGGTGCCACGGTATCTGCAGGTGCGGGCAAACAAGGGAGGACTTCAGATTCAGCGACTATGCACTTCTTTCGATGCTTTCGGGTGTCTTTGCGAAAACCCCCCTGGAAAACTCACGTGAGCTTACGTTGGATGGGATCAGAACAGTGCCTTAAACGTGCGGAGGACTTGCAAAGCCTTCTGCCTGAAGGGAAATCGCGGATCAGAATCAAAGACTGCGAAAGACTTTTGAACCGCCCTAGAGAGAGGGGCAGCACTACGTAAGTTTGAAGCACAGCGAATCAAGCGACGCGGACGCTTCACCAGTGGGCAATCGTGATCGTCCGGTTAACTCCCGTAAGCCCTTTCCGCAACGACAGTCGTCAATACTCGGCCGAAGCCAGGCTAGCACCGACTTCCTTCACTCACCTGTTCTGAGCCCGGCTTCTTCCGGCGCAACCTGCGCCCCATTATGCGCGCCCCCGCTTTCCGGCCCAACCCGCTCTAGTTGCCGCCCGTCCAACCCCCGCTGCTCCAGCGGCACCCTGGCGTCATTGGCAACCCATCCCTCCACCCGCTCCATCGGCGGGATGACGTCATCCTTCCCGTCCGCCCGCGGCAGCACCAACTTCTTCCCGGGGAGGTCGAACCGTGGGTGGTCCAACACTATATCCGGCTCCAGCGCCACCCCCCCGGACGTGGCGCCAATCTCCGCTTGCAGCACGTGCATTGGGAACTGAATAATGTGATGTCGGACGGGCGCGAACGCTTCTCCCGGGGGCCGCCGCCCATGCGCGGAGCCCCCCCCGGAAGGATCGACGGACAGGTCGATGTAGCTGACTCGGCTGTGGTGCGTGGAGTCTGCGCCGCCGTGCAGAGACCCCCCGCCGTGAAGGGAAGGGTTGAGACGCCCGCCGCGGATAGAAAGCCCGACGTGCGAGTCGGAGTGGGGCATGAAGGCTTCGCCGCTGCCGGTGTGGTGCGTCAGGTCTTCCATGGGGACGTCGAGAACGTCGGGGGACCACCAGTAGAGGGGGTACTGCGGATGGAAGGGAAAGCATTTGCTTATCTACATGAAGTTCAATTGTGTTTTCCCGCCAGAGTCTTTTAGTAAAAGAGAAGGGGCATGGGAACGTCCAGCACGTTAGGGAATGGCCAGGACAGCAGGTGACTGCGCAAAGGGGGGTAGAATCGTTTGGGCTTTTCTTCTACTTTCATTTCTTATTCTTAAGTTCTCCCGAGGGGTAGTAGTAAAGCATGGGAACATCGACAAACTAGTACAGCGGCTTCTGTGCGGAATGCGGGGTCTGTTTGACAGTGAATGAGGCTACTCTGCAGTCTTTTGACGGTTCCTGCGAGATTGCACCGAAAGTAGGGGTCTCGCTTGCCTCAAGCTGGCTTGTTCAAATGTCCTCTATTTTCATCTGTTTCTTCGACCGAAAGGGAGTTCCCGAGGTTTATCTGGGGTTTCTTCGGCGAAGCAATGTTGTCGTGTCCCTACTGTCGTCCTACCCTTTACTTCAACCGAAGGAAGTAATTCCCAACGCGAACAGTGCCAGCTCAAGAGCTAACCATCAATCAGACGTTGATAAGTGGCGCTCAACGCTGTGGAGGCAGCTTTCTATGGAGCTTGCAGCCTTACATGACGCTGAATGTTGTTGATGATCAGAGCCACCAAGAGCAGAAGCAGCGCCCCCGCCAGGACGGGAATGACGATGAATAAACCCTTGAGCCGCAGCGCAGGGGGAGACGTAACAGCGATCAGAGCGGTCGCGCCTCCTGGGGGGTGTACCTGCACGAAGGACTTGCCCCCCATTTGAGTAGCTCGATCATGAAGGGGTCTTCGAAGTGCAAAAAGAGGGACGCGAACGGTGACTAAAGGGCTTGCATACTTCAGGGTCTCTACCTGCGGATTAAAAAGGGCTGTTCATTGAGAAGCCGGGTTGTGACTGACAAGGATACCACTGTCGAAGTAACAGAAGGGGTTCTTCAATCCATTCGTCGTCATGCCTTGCAGCAACACTCCTTAAGCAGAATGTTGGAACAAGCGTGCAGAGGAAGTCCTTTTGCTCGGAGACAACTTTCGAATGAGATCTGGAACCTAATACCAAAACAGCCAAGTTGAATATAATCGTGTTCGACGTCAAAAGGCATCGACGGAATGGAGCAATCACACTCATATCAGAACGAGAAAATGTGGCTCAAGGTGCTAGAAATGATGCGAACATAGACATACCAAAGAAACCCGAGAACCTCGCTTTAAAACAAAGTGGGAGACACCCTCAAATGAGTCTTCATACCACTCTTCCGTTGTGCAATTAGAAAGGATAAGTTTATTGATTCAAAAAGCGCCGGTTACCAAGAGAAGCATCAGACTCGGCTGTGGAGGCGCTCAAAACGTTATACAATGTCACCATCAGCCATGTCTGCCATTGCCCCATGCCAGAAAAGATGGTCTCCGTTGTATACAGCAGAGCACCAGCTCAGGAAGCTGAACGGTCAGGCAAACTTTTCGATTCCTCTCGAAAGTCTCAGAATTTCTATCAAACACGTCAGGATCTAATACCCATTCGCCGGCCAAGTCCTCTCGGATGTCAAATGTCAGGCGGGAATGAGAACGAGGTTGTCCTATGAACACACCAGAAGAGTAAGTAAGCTTACCGTGCGTGTAAATTGCATCAACACGACTGCAGTTGCGACTGCCATGCCTGCCTGTACCCAAACATACTTGTTGCTATGGCCCGGGTATGCCAGGCCCCCGGCGTCAAAAGCTTCTGAAGAAGATAAGGGGAACAATTTAAAGCAGGGAACAATCTAAAGCATGAGACAATGACTGTTCAATAATCGTCCTGATATAGCAACTAGACATAAAGCAGTTGTCTGGATCTTTTGTCTGAGATACCGTCTGAAGGGGAAAACAGGGACCTTGTTCCATTCCTACCATGCCATGAGAGGTTCCATGACAATTGAAATTGAGCAGATGGAGAAACTGGGCTGTGCAACATCTCAGCACTCCTACAACAGGTTTGAGAATGAGCTTTCCCTGGAGGAAAGTTCAAGACAAAGAACATTTGATCGCACGTGTTAACGTCAGCTGTTGGAATGTCGTTTCAGACACCTGGAACTTGTAAGTATTCAGTTTTTGGTTCAAGTTTCAAACACCTGAAACGACCCACTTGACTTATCCACATCTGCTTCGGCCTCTTGCGGAAACTTCAAAGCCTACTCTTTGAAACCTGCAACAAGCAAGCGTCGAGCAAGAATGACTCACCAGCAACTGCAATGCCAACGCAAGCCGACAGAACGTGCCCCCCCACTAGGTTTCTCGGCTGCGCGAGCGGCGAGTCGATTGCTCCAAACACCAGAACCGCCGACGCCCCGAAGGAGCCGATTATGAAAACTAGGTGTGTGTGAATCTTCTCATGCAGGATCTCATCTGTTGGGGCGTACCAGGGGACATTGTATGTGAGCACTGCCAACAGAGCGATGCCACAGAATGCAGCTATCCAGGACCAGAATAAAACCCTCAGAGTTGGCCGGGGGGGAAAGAGACCCTCGTTGGCCCCCGTCCACTTTCTCACATACTGCTTGACGGTCCAGTTGAGGGAGAAGCCGGCCTTGCTGTCCGGCGCTTCTGCTGCGCGCAGGTTGGCGAGCGAACGCTTGACACTGTGATAGTGGACCAGCCCCACATGATGAATATTCTGGAGAGCGCGTGGTTTCCAGGATGACCTGCGGCTTCTTGATCCCCGCCGGCTGGCAGGGGCGGCTAGCTTTGAGCTGTCACGTCTCTGTGGCTGTTCAGTTTCAGTATCGGGAGTGCTTACATTCTGCGCAGCTGGCTGAAGGGTGAGCTCAGGAGTGACAGCCTCAGGCGCCATAGAAACAAGAAAGGGGGGGAACTGCCACCAGTAGTACACACGGAAAGTATCAGCCTCAAGAAAGCTTCGATTGCAGTTGTGCGCTCCTACTCAAAGTTGGCGTTCATGTTCAGTTCAATGCCTGTCGTGGTCAAGAGCAAAGCATCGTGAGCGGGGACTACTGGCCATACATAAGAGGCAATCAAGGAAGCGGCTTACTACGTTCCCAATAGAGGTATAATTTCTAGTAGTCCTCAATAATGACACACAAGGCAGAGCAGCAGAAGACTGTGTGTCATTGCTGTTTCAGCTGCATGTGTATGGTTGGACAGGTCACAGAAACAGATGGATGAAGTCTGTGTCTACACCACTCTTGCTGAATTTGTTGCAGGTTCAAGCGGCGCCAAGCTGAAGGAAACAGGTGCAATGCATCATCCGTCATAGGCTGTCACCCTCCCTGCATTGCATTGCCTTGAAAGACGCTCCTGCAGGTGCACTAGAGCAGACGTCGCCTCCATTTCCTCCAAGATGTAAAGCACGTATTGCACTGTGCAATGCACTGTGCATGCAGGCTTCACTTCAGTGTAGTCTGTGTGTACAGTGTAGCCTACTACCGGTAGTACAGTCTACAGAGTACGGTACCTAGCTGCAGGCCCTCCTGTGCATTTAATGCACATGTGGCCATTCGAGATTGTGAAGGGACTGGGGGGTGCGGACGCCCCCGAAACATTATACGAGCGTCCCCCCAGGAAATTTCGCAACTTCCTCTTTCCCACAGCGGTTTTGAGCCGTCGATGGCAGGGCGGACTTCCAGACCTCGGCATTCAGAGCATGCCACGTCAGAACAACACCATCCAGCATCGAGGGTCTTGCACCGTGGATGCTCCTGACTCGACGGCTGTAGACATGTATCTTCACATTGAACTGGCGACGGCTCCCTCGCTCTAGATGCTGGACCCTGGTGCATGATGAGCACCCAGGCAGCCACACACACGCAGGAAAAAATGGCGATAGCGATGGTTTGCGTCCTCGTCTAGCGCATGCTGGTGGCCTTGGTGGTTAGGGTGACTGGTTATGAGTAGCACTTAAGGTGAACCCACCCTTTCATTGTAGTAGTAGGCGTTGCACCATGGGGGGTAAGTCGGGGAACAAGAAGAAGAAGCCAAGCCCTTCTCAGGCGGCTAAGGCGGCGGAGAAGAATGCGGCACCGGCGGCTGCTGAGCAGCCCGAAGACAATCCGGAGAAGGTACGTATGCCAGCAGAAGTTTTGACACGCATAGACAATATTCAGAGTGCTGTCTAGAGCTGATGCTGACAGCATTGTACATTGGGGTTTGTGTCTGAAGCAACGAAAGTATGTGGTGGCACTATCATCAGCGTTGTGAGAGAGCTGTAGCAAACAATGTGGTATGGGAGTGCATCTTGGTTTAATGAAGCTCTGCAAGGGGGAAGAGTAGCCCCGCCACGGTAATGACAAATGGATGCTAGACTTAGTCAAAAGGGTCCATTTGTTGAGCTTTGAGAACAATGCCAGGTCCGGTGGAAGCCGGTGCAATACTCCCCAGTGTCAATAAGTGTACTCTTGTCGCGGAGCCTCAGCTGATACTTGGTTTCGAGTTGGAGAGGGGATGTCAAACATCCTTGGGGTCAATGAAAGGGTTAGAAGCTGGTAATGGTGACGCAAACCGTGGTGCGTCATCCTTGGCATGAGCAGTTTTCTTACCGGTTCTGTCACTGTGGCGCTTCAGCTACCCTTTGACCGGCTGCCGATACTTACTTTTGGTAAAGGATGTTGAAGTTGGAAAAGCATTAACTCACACCAGTCGTGCCCCTCCATTTATCAAGTCCTTGATAGCACAGTGTCATAGCGCCAGCGTACTCTCACAAGCAAACACGCTCAAAACAAGGGCACCTCAAGTGCCAGAAGTCCCTGCTCCTCGAATGGCAGCTGATGTGTAGCACGTCCCCAGAGTTGCATTTCAGTGCATTTTTCGAACAATCACTGTTGCTCACAAAAGGCGCCTGGCTTGGGAGACCGAACCTTTCACACTTGTGCACGCCACTCGAACGCTCCCCTTCTGATACTTTGCTTTCTCCTTCAGGTCATCATTGACCGTGCCCGGGCCCTCCGTGAGCAGGCAAACACCCTTTTCAAGTCCAAGGAGTACCAAAAGGCACTCGACTTTTACGACCAGGCGATCGCTCTCCTTCCGGGGGGTCACTCGGACCGCGCGGTTCTGCACAGCAATAAGGCTGCGGTGCTCCTGTCGCTGCAACCCCCCTCCTATGTTGATGCTCTAGAGGAGTGCAACAATGCGCTAACAATCCAGCCGCGGCACATACGCGCGCTCCTGCGCAGGGCGCGCGCGTTTGAGGCGCTCGGGAAGTTTAAGGAGGCGCAGGCGGACCTCGACCTCCTGCTTTCGGTAAGGAAGGGGGGCGCAAGCTTGGGGTTGGCTGTCAGTTGGTGCATTGCTATGGCGAGGCTCCAGTGTTTAGGAGGTTTTTTTTTATTGTGGGTTTAGGCACCAATGAAAAGTGGTGAAGAGAGGCTTATCGATTATGATCTTTGAGAACATACGATTTTATCCAGGTGCACGTGTTCTGTCATGTCTTCAATTTGAGAAGGCGGTGCTCTATGGGTTTCCTGTTGTCAACTCGCGAGAAGGGCTTTTGAGGGGTAGCATGGGCAGGGGTCGGTGATTGCGGTTCCCGGAGTAAGGCAGTGGCGGTGACTGGAGGATGTCAGTGGAGAATCGTTCTGGAGGAGTTCGCGTCACTGTCAAAGAACAGCCCCAGATGGATGCCCTACAGGAGCTCATTCTCATCAGCTTCTCGCAGCCAAACCTGGCCAAGAGTATGTCCAAGAGCTGTGGCTGTCTTCAGGTGCTGGGAAGCCTCTTCTAGTCCTCAGAAGCCTATTTGTCACTCAGTTTCATGAACAGCTACTGTCAACAGGCAGCCAAATTAGAACATACGTCGACAACTAAGCGGTCCTTGCAGGACATCCGTACTGAGTTTCTTCTTTAGCAAGAGAAGGGGTCTTTCTATTCTACTAATTTTGTACGAGCAGTTCCCCTACCACTTGGTATGGGTTTCTCAAATTCGCAGAGCACTGTAGAACCTGGTCTAATTCCTTCCTGGATTTCCAAACTCACTGTTTTTGAAGTGGAGGAGTCTTGGTGACTCATGCTTGGACCTTCGCTGCAGACGGATCCTGCGAGCGAGGACGCCAAGCAGCTGCAGGAGACGGTCAAGTCGCAGATGAACAAGCCGAAGGCGCCTCCCAGTTCCGTGGCCGGCCGTAAGAGCGCGACCTCATCCCCTCTTTCGTCTCCGGGTGCTGATGCTGGCCGAGCGATGCCCTCGCTTCCAGAGCGGAAAGCGAAGCGGAAGTCGACGGAGGCGGACGGGGCCGCACCTGCGGAAGTAGCGAAGGCGCCGAAACTCAAGGCGTCGGAAGTGCCGGTTCCGAAGGAGTTGGTGGAACTGATCCCGGAAGTGAAGGCGGCGATCGAGGAAAACGAGCGGCTTCTGGAGGAGGAGAAACGGAAGATTGCGGAGAACGCGGGGGCGGCCGCGGCAGCCGCGCCGCAGGAGGGGGCGAAACCGGAGGGGGGGGAAACGAAGACGGTGAAGCGGACGGTGAAGGTCGTGCGGAAGAAGAAGCTCGACCGGCCGGCCATTCCGCTGAAGCTGGTTTACCAGGGGCACGACATTCGGAAGACGGAGCTGCCGGCGAACGGGGGGTTGAAGACGCTGCGGGAGGTGGTGCAGAAACGGTACCCCGGGAGCAAGGCCGTTTTGGTGAAGTACCAGGACGAGGACGGGGACTGGATCACGATCACGAGCAACGAGGAGCTGCGGGGCGCGCTAGAGCTCTGCGGGTACGCAGGCAAATCGGCAGACGCGAAAAATCCGGAAGAGGGGGCGAAGAAGGGGCCGGTGAGGCTGGAGATCACGGAGGTTCCGGAAGAGCAGGAGCCGGCGGTGGAAGAGGGAGGGGAGGATGACGTGGCAGGTAATGCACTGCCCTTAGTCGGGTTCAACCCCTGTACTTCGAACCTTAGTACTCTCTCTGAGTGCTACTATTCTCGTATGGGATAGGCCGTTTGACCTAAGGAGATTGTGCTGTTTCCGGTCCATGTGGCTTCCTGCGTGAGAAGGGGTGAAATGCTTGATTCGAATCACGCCGGCCTTTCTTCGTGAAGAGTTCCTTGATCAGTTTCAATTGCAAACCCACCGCGTGACGCTCAGACATGGTGCGCTGGTTTTCTTACCTTAATATTTCCAATATGGAAGTCTGGAGATGACGTCCTACCTAGACTGCTGGCGTCCAATCCTGAAAGCCTAACACCGACGGATTCATTCGCGGCAGATTATGAGGAGGAAGAAGTTGAGGAAGAGATCGAGGAGGAGGTCGCTGAGGAGGCGCCAAGTGGCGCTGCGCCGAAGGCGGAGCAGGAGGAGGGGGCGGCGATCCAGGAGGACTTTTTGTACCACCTCTCGTTGGCGGTGAAACACAAGCTGGGTAAGCCAGGGGTGCCAGCTTGGGTTTTTATCCTAGTGCTTGTCACCGGAATGGAGATCAGCGGCCTCATACGGGACCAACGGACAAGGCCAACTTTGCGAGTCGTAGCAGCTTGAATGTAATTACCAGAATCATAGGTTTTAAACTGCTGGCCAACCCATTTCGTGAGAGTGACCAGTGCCGCAATCGAGCTCTCCAACCACGTGCTCTTCTTGTGATAGGCAACTAGGGAAGGGTGGCCGCAGATTGTTCAAGGCGCGGCAAGGTCCTGCAGAGTACGTACGAGAAGCGTTTCTAATTCAGTGGAGGAGAACAGTAGAACGAGAGAACCGCCTCTGTACGACAAGCTTGACAGCTCCTCGCCAATATCGTGCCTGAAGTCCGCTGACGGCATTTCGGTTGCCGTTCCAGGCATGACGTTGGACTACAACCCGCACGACGCGTTCCACCAGGGCCATCAGCCCCTGCTGCAAGCCATTGACGAAACGCTCCAGTCTGACGAGGCTGTGCCATATTACGAGCAGGCGGTTGCGCACTACAAGGAAGTGGTGAGTTTGCGGGTATGCTGAGGCTTGTTTCCTTCCGTCTTGTAGATAGGGTTGGTACGTCCTACAAAGATCAGAAGACTGGTTCTGAGATGTATGACCGTTCAATTCAAGTTGCAAACGAGGGTCCGCCAGTTGCGGGGCTATGTGCCTTTCACAATATCGCAGTTTTTTTGGGCCAATCATTTATGATACATTGGTACTCTAGGACCGTTCATTCACCATTTCAGTGTTTTGTCTTTTCTTTCACCACCCCATTGCTAGGTCTACCAACCACCTCTCATGTCAGCAGGTTGTCTGTTCAGTTTCAGGTCGAGAATCGAAGATTTCAACGGCTGTCGTACCTAGGCCTACTCCCTGGCTCCAAACAAGGGTTCAGTCTAGCATAGATTCCCGGGGGTCCATGGCTAATTCGTGGCTCGCTTCTGCCCCCAGATCGCGGGCGGGTACATGCAGTGGGGCAACATCCACCAACTTTCAATGACGCTTTTTTTGGTCAAGGGGGTTTTTGACTGATTAACAACCACTGGTTAACAATCTCCGGGAAAAACCGTGGCTCGTTTCTCCCCCCAGATCGCGGGCGGGTACATGCAGTGGGGCAACATCCACAAGCTGCTGGCGGACAAGGTGCTGACGGAGGCGGGCCGCGTGGGCGACAAGCAGGAAAAGCTGAAGCTGCTGCTCAGGCGGCGCGACGAGATCCAGAGCCAGTACAACGAGGCGCACAAGATGTTCCAGCAGGCCAACGCCATCGCGCCGGACCTCGTCGAGGTGCGTTTATTTCTTTCTTCTTGGTTATTTCCTTTTGTGGTACAACCTTCTCGAGATTGCCATTCTCGTATTATATGTATGTAAGTAAAGTTATCGGACCTTTTCAAGCGTCAGTACAACGAGGCCCACAAGATGTTCCAGCAGGCCAACGCGACCGCGCCGGACCTCGTCGAGGTGTGTTCTCAATAATGGCCTCAGATTTCAAGGTTCTAGAAGTATTGGATTCTGGTGTCAAGAGTGTTAGGGTTTATTTTCCTTTTGATCCACTTCGACGTTTCGAAAATTGGTTCATACTGGTGTCCGCCTCACGCGCCAGTGCAACGGCCCAGAAGGTGTTTCAGCAGGCTCTGGTATTCGCGCCGGACCTCCTCGAGGTGGGGCACAGGTTCTTCTGTTGTTTCCTTCTTCAGGTCCGCATAATCCCGTCGATATGTCTTGACGCTTCGAACTTTGGTTTTGTGTCTCTTTTCTTTCACGAGCCAGTACGAGGACGCGCCCAACATTATCTAGCTGGTATTGTTGCCATCTTAATTGCGCCGTCTGTTTCTTATGTTATCACGGTCTCTGCTCTTTCTCAGGTGACAAAATGCTGTCTCTGACCGGCTCTGTTATCCGAGACAAGATATTTCAGCATCGGTATTCGTCTGCTTCAACGTCTGCAGTGTTTTGCGTCTCTTTCTCCAATCTGAATCTCTCTGAACTTTTTTGTACCTTGTGGCCATTATTCAGGCGACCTCTCTGTAGGTGTACAATGTTGTATCTCTCAGCTATACATGCATCTCGGAACTCTTTCTCATCTCAGTTCGCCGTCTTCCCTTTTCCAGGCGACCTCTCTGCTGGTGCAAAACCTGTCGTTTACGAGCAAGCCACACTTTTCATATGCAAACCTGTCGATTACGAGCAAGCCACACCTTTCATATGCAAAGCTGTCGATGCATCTCATGCGTTGCCTTCTTCTTTTCAAAATCCTCGGAGCATCTCTCCTTCAAGATCTCCCATAATCTGGAGGTTTTTCTTATCCTGATTTGCGAATCCCCTTCTTTCAGGCGACCTCTCTGCTGGTGCACAACCTGTTGGACATGGCCAAGCCGCACCTGTTGTATGCGGAGCTGTCGGTTTATTCTACTCGTTGCCTCTTCCTTTCCATACCATATTCGCAGCATCTCTCCAATAAATTCATACATCACCTGGAGGTTTATCTTATCTTAACTTGCAAGTCCTTCTTCCAGGCGACCTCTCGGCCGGTGCACAGGTCCGTTAGATATAGCCAATTAGCACCAAGCCTTTGTGGGGGATTGTGGGTGCCCCCTTTTGTCCTTGAATTAGTGCTCTGGCATACGTTTACTTTATAGTCCTCTGAGTTTGATCCGCCCTTTTGTGCAGGCGACTTCTCTGCTGGTGCACAACCCGTTGGACATGGCCAAGACGCACCTGTTGTATGCGGAGCTGTGCTGTTGATGCATCTTTTTTAAACCCTCTGGGCATCACTCCGTTGTGTTTCCAAGCAACCCCAAGAGCTTTTTCTTATCTTATTCGCGGTCTCCCTTCTTTCAGGCGACCTCTCTGCTGGTGCACAACCTGTTGGATATGAACAAGACGCACCTATTGCATGTGGAGGTGTCGCTCCATCTCCCGCGTTCCGCATTCTGTTCTTTGACCTCTTTCCGTTCAATCATTAGACAATCTGGAGGCTTTTTTAATCTTGATTTACCGTTTCCCTTCTTGCAGGCGACCTCTCTGCTGGTGCACAACCTGCTGGACATGGCCAAGACGCACCTGTTGTATGCGGAGCTGTCGGTACCGGACCTGACCCTCTGGAACAGCACACAGGTCTTCAAGCTCGTGGGCAATGCGATCGGCATCCTCAGCGAGCCAATCAGGGTGAGACACGTGGACATGGAAGAAGCGGTCTCACCCAGACTTGGCAACGTTGATGTGCTGGCAATCGAATGGTCGCAAGGATTGGTCTGAATAAGACGATCCCGTTTTCACTTACAATCTGTCGCTAAAAATATCAGATCATTGTCCTCGCAGAATCTTTCGGATGATTGTCAGAGGTTTTCTTAAGGGCGTTACAGTATCTTGTGATGCACCAGATGATGTTTCCGCGTTCACAAATGGGCTCCAAAAGTTGGTCGTAATAGAACTACAGCCGTTGGATACGAGTCTTGAACGGCCCGGATTTGCAATTCAGCTCAGGCGGTCGAATCTGACAAACAGTCGATGAATCGTTTCCTGCTCGCCATAAGCTCTTGCAATGTAAATTACGTCCTTACATCCTGCCGTCGTCCAAGTCTGGTAATTTTGACTACCTTGTTACTCCCCCTACTGAGTAGTTCATAAGTCAACACACAAGTTAGTCCGAGTTGACAGCTCATTCCAATTGTTCAGGACGCGGTTCTCTTTTCGCTTGTCTTGCTTTCTCTGAAATCTACGCGATCCCTCTTATTCTCTTGCAGAAATTGGAGATCCAGATTGCGGAGGACGAGGAGAGTCTAGCCACCGAGGAGAAGGCGCGCAATGCGAAGCTGGCGGAGGCGGGCGAGTCGCTGACGGAGGAGGAGAAGAAGGAACTAGACCAGCGGGTCGAGGAGCTGCGCTACTTCGTGGCGCTGGCCAAGGAGCGCCGCACGCAGCTCAAGCTGACCATGGCGGAGATCCTGCTGGAGCAGTCGTCGTTCGAGGTGAGGGGGGTGGAATTTGCCTCAATTGTGGGGGGTGGGAAGAGCTCGTATTTCGTAGGGGGATACTGGGTAGTGCATTTTTGAGAGGGGGGGAGGTGTTTGTGACGGCTTTGTAGCTCAAGCTGACCATGGCGGAGATCCTGCTGGAGCAGTCGTCGTTCGAGGTGAGGGGGTGGAAACGGCACTGGATCCGGGGGGTGGAATGTAGTTTCCTTTTAGGGGGGCTGAAATTTCGGGATCTTGGTAGGGGACATTGGGCAGTGGGTGACTTTGAGGTGGAAGGAGAGTTTTGGCAGCGAAAGAAGGCAGCTCCAGATGACAATGGGTGAAATTCTGCTGGAGCAGTCGTTGTTCGAGGTGAGGGGGTGAAAATGGCAGTAGATTCGGGGGGGTGAAAACATCCAGAGGGGGTTACTGGGCACTTGGTTTTGGGGGTTGAAAGCTTAATAGCTAACGCAGCTTAAGCTGTGTAGGACGGAGATCCTGCGGAAGCAGTCGAGGTGAAGGGGTAAATTAGCAGTCGATTCGGGGGAGTGGGAGAGGAGTCACTTTTCGGGGGGCAATTGGGCAGTAGGGTATTTCCGAGGGGGAGAGGGGTTTCCGATCGCTGATGCCGCACAAGCTGAACATGTTGGCTTTTTTGAAGATCGCTGGTCACGATGTCTGACGCACCACCTGCCCATATCCGTCTGGGCACTACGTCATTATGATGCTCATCTTGCTCACTTCCAGTGGGGCCGCAGTACAAGACAGAAAAGCTCACGTGGGGCTAGACGTTAAGAATGCTTGGAAATCCTTCCGGAGCGCTGATTACTGCTCGTAGTCCTATGCACGATACGACGTCAACATGAGCTCACGTTGCTTCCGTTTCCGACTTGCAGTACAAGACTGGAAAGCCCACGTGGGTCCAGACGCTGGAGAACGCGTGGGAGCGCTTCCGGAGCACCGAGTGCAACATCCTAGTTGTCATGGCCGTGCTTCTGCCGAACCACGAGTGGATCAAGCAGCAACTAGAGAAGGCCAAAACGCCCGCGGCGCCTGCGGTTGAGGACAAGAAGGACGAAGCTGCGAAGGGCTCGGGAGATGCTGCGCCGGGCAGCAGCGAGGGGGCGGAGGAGGGGTCGGGGGGACCTACCGAGGAGAAGCACGAGAACGGGGCGGTTGAGAAGGGGGAGGAGAAAAGTGTGCCGGAGAAAGGGGAAGAAGCGCATGCCAACGGGGGGTTAGAGAGCTCCGAGCAGAAGGCGAATGGAGAAGGGTCGGCGAGCAAGAAAAAGAAGAATAAGAAGCAGGGTGCGAAGTGAGGGGCTTGTCAGGGCGGCGCTTTTGGTCGGAAATCGAGTTGCTCGGGGGTGCTTGGTCGCCATTCGTTTTGTCTCAGAAGTGGGCTGGTTTTCGCGGATAGAAAGGGTCGTCGAATTTGCTGCAGTACGTTATGATTGGTTCTTGAAGTTTCAACCGCAGCGTGACCTGCCGCATCGAGGGGAAAATAGCATGTCTTCAGTCGGATCCTGTTGACGATGTCTGAGTATACCTCAGTCAATGTGCTTTCGTAACAAAGTTTTGCTCAAGAACTTTGGCCCAAGCTTTGAGCTATTCAGGATCTAGTGCACCAAGCTTCTGTGAGTCCATGCATGGTTGCTTGATTGGTTGCGGGCGTGCAAAATCCGAAATCTGGCGTGCTCATGTGACAGTGCGAGAAAGTTGATTGATCGGTTTGTCGTTGACAATTTGAGGTCATCTATATTAGAATGGACTGCCATCATGTTCAGCATGACGGTCCAGCTCCGAAGATTCATGGTTACTAACCTTGGTCACAATTGGCGATCTCAATGGGAGGCGGTTTAACTTGATTCTCTTCATATCAGTGATGTATCATGCAGCATGCTTGCATTTCAACTATAGCTTGCATGAAGAGTGGCATGTGCATGGTTAGAAACCCGAAGGATGGAACAAGCGATCATGTGTTGCAGATGCATGCGGCAATACATGATGCAATCGATCTTCGGTGTTTTCGCCAGTAACTGAAGTGGGCACAGGTTACCTCATGGCATACGTGTTACACATGCGATTTGTGTTCTTTTTGCTTTTTCATGAAGGCTGCATGGAGTTATAGTTTGTGCATGTGCTCCGCCTGTCAGTCGCAATCGCCTCTAGTACGGTTGCCAAGCTCCGACATCCTCAGTCCTCCTTAGTATGCCTCGTCTTCTTCTCTGTAGTGGCAAATCGGGTAGAATGAATCACTTAACCGTCGGTCACTCGAAATCAACAAACACTACTAGTAGGTTTGAAAAAGGCGAGCCCTTGGCTGCTCAATTGCAAAGCAGAGTGTTGTTATCAGACTATATGTTCGAAGCAAACCCGTTCAGTATGTGAAATCTGAGATATAACTTACGTTACTCATCGCCTCACACAAGCTGCTTGTTTGAAAACGTTAGGGCCGCATCTACTCGATCATCGATGTGAACTGCCTTCAACTTTCAAATAGTGGATCTGAGCTAGTCTGTTGCTGGGATCGTCTAGATGTAAGATCTTAAAAGCTATTCTAATCTTGATTACGATACAAAAGAGTGCTTGCTTCTTCTGATGCTTGTCACAGCTGTTGATCCAGGTCAAGTATCTTCCCGTACGTTATCACCGTGGCCCCTGGGATAGTTCTAACCTGAGAGCAAAGCTAAGGCTTGCCTAGAGCAGGAAATCACACCCAACCAAGCTTGATCAGGAACAGCCTAAGTGCCTTCTACTAGGCCAGACTGGTTGAATGCTCATTAACACCCGTTCAGTGGCTTTGATTATGAGCAAAACCTTCCTGTGTTGTAATTAGGAAGACGGAGCTGGCCCAAACAGCACTGTGTCCACGCAAGGCATCAGCCAAGACAGATGCTTTGCTCGTTTCGGGTGCAGACGAAGTTCCCGATCCAACACCCAGTGGTTCCTGTTCGCCAATGACACGTCCAAGATTATTTTGACGGTCTTCACTTTTGGCTCTCCATATGCGTCAGTCTCTGGCAAAGCCTCTCCAATGCAATACACTCGGAGTATGTCAGTCTTTGGTACCCGTTTCTCCGCCCCAGGTGCAAATGGTTGGTTGTCGAAGTACAGCTGACGGTTGGCGCAGTTCTCAATCGTCACTTCGGTGACGGGCCGTGGACGGGCCAATCAAATAGAAACAATGTAGTTTGCTGCAGTTCACGCGTTTCTAATTTGGTGTCGCATTAGCAGATGATTAAACTTGAGAATCTTGCCCTGAAAGCTGAGCTGAGCTCTAGCAGATCAAGCTAGTGCGAGCAGAAGCCTGAAACAAACGAAAGTTGAACAAACGCAGCTAGTGAAGTAGGTAGCTGTGAAGTGCAGATTGCACTGCAACTACCTATGATGATGACCGTGACCGTCCTCCTGCCTCAGTGCATCCCCACTTTCGTCGACCCTGGCATGCAGAGCCGTACGATGATACGTGTTGTCTGACTCGGCATTCAATGGACGGCCAGGAACCAGGTCCGTACCACGTGAACCATCTGACAACTGGCATGGAAGAGTAAGTTGGATGCATGTTGCATCACATAGGTTTGCGGAGGGTATCGGTGGGGGTTTAACCTGAGACCGGTTCAGTCACCGGAGTGCTTTTGCCCAGCTTTGACCGATTCCCGGGAGGATTCACCGGCTGCTTTTGTTTTGCCCCGGGGTTTCGCTGGTCAATGCATCATTCAGCGCGCGCTAGCATTCTTTTCTGAAAGTGCAATGCTGAGCTGGTTTGCGAAATATCGTGTCTTGCTAGCAGCTACATGGTCGTCTCACTTTCCAGCTACACGGGTGACGGAACGCGGGTTTGGGTGGGGCGTTTGTCATGAACTTTCTGCTCGTCAACCTCCTTTCACAAATTCAGAAAAGTTTCATTCCATCTTCGAAGGAGAAGCTTGCAGTCGCATTGAAAGTAAGCGCAGGATTGCGTCCAATTGAGTTCAAGCTCACAACGTTGCCCTTCCGCACCTGACAGAATGGCCGCCGCAGAGAATGGCACAGCAACTGCCGCCACCTCATCAGAAAACAACCACTCTCCCCGCTCTATCCTGGCAGCAGTGGACCCGTCCGAAGAATCTTCGTACGCTTTCAACTGGTATCTGGACAACATCGCACGTCCGGAAGACAAAGTAACCACACTGTCTGTAGAGGAGGTTTCGGACTTCAGCTTCTTCCTGAAACCAGAGGACATCGATGAGTTGGAGAACCAGAGGCGGGAGGAAGTCCAGAAGCTGCTGGCAAATTTTTCTGAGAAGGCAAAGGAAAAGGGGGTGAGCATAGCTTATCAGCAGTTCCTGTTGGCTCATTGCACCACCAATTGTGGCTTTTGAGGGTTTTTGGTATTTGCACCACTTCTATTGGGGCGGAACAAAACTTGGTTGTATTTGGTTCAAAATTGAGTTGCTGTTGTTTCATGATTGCTGCACCACCAAGAGTGAAGTTTTACAGGTTTTTTACGAATGCTCCAATTCAGAATATAAAACCAGAGAAGTTTTTCTTTAAGCTGCATTTGACCAGTTCATTGTTGTGCGCATTACTAAACAGCTGCACAGACCAATGCACCTTTTTCTGAAAGTTTTCGCTGAGCTGCAGTTTCGTGTCTCTCAAAAGACCAAGCTGCTATAAGTGAACGACAGCTAAACCTCTGGTCTGGTGAACATTGGTTTCTCATTGGCAATCTAGATGCAATAGAAGAAGACCATTCAACTTTTTCGAACATATGTTGATCAAAGACCGCACTGATAAGAATCGCAGAAACTCAACAGCAGCCTTGAAGAGTATTTGAACACCACTAGTTAATCTAATAACTCCATGATTTACAGCTCAAATGAAATATCTTCGTGTATATCTGCCTTGCACTTTGCAAACCGTCCACCTGAGAGTAACGAAAATTTCTTTTTATGTGCCTTGAGACAACTTTTTGAGTTTCTAATGTGGTTTGCAACAAGCCCACTTGTTTAATTTTGTCGTTTTAAGACCCGCCCATACTTACATGAAGGTTGCGCCCTAGGTCCTACATCGACTGGTCGCCCTAGATGCTACATCAATTGTTTAGTCTCATATTTCGTCATTCTCAGAATCAGCCTCTAGAATAAGGTATCCCTCACTTTGTATGTCACATCCAAGTACTCTGTGAACATTCTTCTCCTGTACTCAACTCTTGTTCTGTCTGGTCATATTTTGCCATCAAAGGTATTCAAACAAGCTGCATCGTAGCGCATTTCATCCTTTCGGTCTCATCAATTCCAACGTACAAATATTCACTCTTCCTCGCTCTTGTCGCAATGGTCTCCCTGAATGCCTCACTTCTTCTCCTTGCAGGTGACCACTGTTTCCGAGACGGCTGCAGGCGATGCCCGGCAGATCATCATTGAGAAGGCCGAAAAGGATGGCTACGAACTGCTTGTCATGGGTTCCAGGGGACTGGGGGCCATCAAGAGGCAAGTGGGCCATCTTTATGGATTGCTCCTGGTCTTTTTGATTCTGCAAATTGGTTTTTTCATTCGCAAGTTTTGTTGAATAGTCGATCAAGGAAGAGCTATTTGTGTTGAATCGATTGAGAAAGAGCTTATGAAAAGTGCAGTAGTTGCGCAGGAACAATATTTCTTGGGCCTGATTACAGTTTTGGAAAGAGCGGGCTACTCATCTGCTCCAAGTTGGAAACATGCTGCCTGCCACGCCGGCAGAGAACGTGAAGACTAAGTCTTCTTTGTAATCTTCCGCCAGTGGTGAATCGTTTGACCCAAATCTTTCCGATTACAATCGAGGTCCTCAGCGCTTCAAGAAGACCTGCTACATTCGGAGAACTCAGGCAATTTTCTCTAACAGAGCAATTGCCTCATTTGTCATCTTCTCATTTTGAAGCACTTACTACACTGCCCACATCTTCACTGCGAACGTACATTCGAATTGTACTGGTATCTAATTTGGCACTAAACTGCTCAACTTGTAATACTGGACGGGTGTGGAGTGAAAAAGGGGTTTAGGCTGGGCACAGATGCGGACCGGCTATATACAATGGTTGAGGTGGCTTCGTTCTCACTATATTCTGAGCTTATCAGGATTATTCTAGAAAGATATTCCAACTTTTCTCCACACCAATCGTCCAGGTCACATTGTGGCTGTTGAAGTTTTCCTTCCACAAGATCATCCTCCGTGCACCGCTTGTGAATCTTGCCTGGCCCTCTTTACTTCCCCATCTGCGGTGCTCTTTTGTAAACTTTTCGTGCTTGGTTGACTCACCCTTTTGTCGTTTTTTTCTCATATCACCCGCGATGAGGATGAACGCCCCCTCCCCAGCAGGACTGGCTTGTTCTTGCCTACAAAGTCTTCGAATTTCAATTCAACGCTAGCGACAAAAACACTTTTGAAATGACGACCCCGTTCCAAGAGTGAGCACCTCTCTTTGGGACCGTCCTGTAAAGCATCTCAGGCTTAGAGCTCACCAACCAAGTCTCATTCACACCATCAGATGATTCTCACAGCCCTTAATTCATGCCAACCCCGGCTCTAATCTTCAGCAGGACCTGTATGGACAGAGCGTGTCGCAGGTCCGACAAACACATCTACACGTCCAGCTCGTCGGGAGAATAGGCTATCCCACGAAGAACTCATTCACACCGATTCCCTCTCGGTTTGCAGGGCAGTCCAGTACAGTCCAGTACAGCTTCTGTGAATGGAATCTCGATTAAGGGCAACTGTCGTCGAAGCTCAAAATCTGGTCATCCGCTTCCAGAACGGTCTCATGTAAGGGCTAACTGCCATCAAGTGTAAAATGAGCCCATTCACACCGATTCCCCGTCGGCTTGCAGGGCGTTTTCTGGGCACTGTCTAGCACTGAATTCGCCTAAGGCCAACTGACGTCAAATCTGAAGAAGAATTCCCCCGCTCCCACTGACCTACCCAGAACGAGCTCATTCACACCGGCCCCCCCTTTGCAGGACGTTCCTGGGCAGTGTGTCCGACTACTGCCTTCACCAGGCGTCGTGCCCCACTCTAGTTGTCCGCAAGAAAGCACTTGACGGCGTCCCAAAGCAGGCGGACGGCCCCCGCAAGGTCGCCGTAGCGGTCGACGATTCCGAAGGATCGGCGTACTCGTTCGACTGGGCTTTGAAGAACGTCGCGCGGCCGGGGGATCTGGTGCTGGCAATCCACATCCGCTCGCCCGCGTATCTGCGCTACCCCGTGGCAGGTGAGGGGTTGAGGAAGCAGTTAGGTGTGGGTTAGGGTGGGTTTGGAGGGGTTCACGGAGACTATTTTGCGGGTGGGGGACCTGGTGCTGGCCATCTATATCCGCTCGCCCGCGTATCTGCGCTACCCCGTGGCAGGTAAGGGGTTTAAGATTGCGGTGAAGGATGTCGTTGATTGTGGTTAGGAGGTTTTTGGAGGGGTTTTGAATGAAAGTCGCGCACGTGGAGGATCTGTGCTGGCCATCCATGTCCGCTTGCCCGCGTGTTTGTCGCAGGTGAGGGGTCAAAGACAAGGTTAAGGGGTTAATCTGGTTAAGGGGTTAAGGAAAATGAGATGCTGCCTCTGGGGGTAGATTGTTAAGTTAGATATCTGGCGAAGTGGTAGGGGCTTTGAAAGATAGGCTGATCGATGGGTGCGGGAAGGGACTCTGTGAGCGATACCGTTGTTTGGATTTCTCGACATTCAGTGTTCTTTGGATCTTACGGCGGCCGCCTTCAACTCGTGGATCCCTCCTTTCTCCAGTGAGTATAGAAGTCATACTCAGCCTCTTTTTCTGACGATCAGGGGATTAGGAAGCGTCTCGTGATTCCAATCCGTTTCTAGTACAGGATGCGGAATACCCGTGCCCCCTCCCGATGTTGACACTCCTCGTGAGTGCCCAGATTCCAATTTCATTCTGAGGTTTACCACCAACATTGAAAACATCACAGTTGGAGAGGTTTCTTTCGCTTGCTGTCTGAACGACTCTTCCCAACGTCCTTGCTCGTTTCGAAGCAGCCCCTATTACTCCGCATTTCCGGTCAGCTTCCGGTCAATACCGGTCGGCTGTGCGCTTTTGGCGAGTCCAGTCATACGGGACCCGTTTCTTGCAGCCGGATATTCCCTCCCGCCCCCTCCTCTTCGAACTTCGCGTGAGTTGTCCGGCAGTCGTACTCAGTTACGAAGTCGGTTATGTACTTGGTCAACACTTGGTTGTACATTCGGTTTTAACTGGGTTATGTACTCGGTTATGTCATGGGTTACGTACTCTATTATGTGCAGGCTTATATCCTCCATTATGCTCTCAAGCATTTTTTCGCACATTTTCTGCTCATCACAAACAAAGGGGTAGTGCCTTAGGGTGTTTACGACTTCCTAGAAAACCTGTCTCCTATCATTTGTTCAAGTCAACTGGTTGGACAGACCTGGGCGATTTGTTACGAGTGTTTCCTGTGCTTGAGCTGCTCCTTACTCTCAGATTCGTCCTTCGTAGATCCGCCAGTGTTGCCGCGCTTTCCAACCGCAGCCACTTGCTCCCTCGAAAGCGAAGATGTTGAGTCTCTTCCTCCACTGCATGAAAGTTCCTTTCAAAGGGAATCTCTCGGGCGGGAATATTTGGCTCCATCGCACAGTCCTCACCTTTCTTTTTGATTATGTGTTTGAAAAAAGTCCTGTTGACAGGCACATAGCTGTCCATGTCCTAGCTGACCTTGTCCGTGCGCTCCGCTTTCGAAAGATGCCCACTGATATCGGCCGCCGAGTCTTTCTTGAAGCCGCTCATTCGTCTTTTTCCTTCGTGTCGCCTAAAGAGATCGTCACCGATTTTATTCGACAATTAGACCAGCGACAACCCGCCCGCTTTCCCCTGTCCTCCGTTTTGTCTCTGCCAACGACTCTCACAAGTTTCAAAGATAACTTTCAAGCAGAACAATAGTTGAGATTTACCCTCATCTTTGGACAATCTCGTCCCAGTGGCCTTTCCTTCTCCTTTCCGTTCCGCCTCTAGTGACGCCCATCGTTCCTGGTCACCATTTTCTGGGGAAGCCGCTCACTTCTGTTCCTTCTTTTCTCTGTTCGCGATTTGCTGGTGCTATGCTCGCCCATCGTCCGCTCAGAATCGAGCTCTCCTCTTTACGTATAGCCTCCACTGACTCCTGTCATTTCTGAGATTCCTTGATTCTGATCCTTTCATTCCTTCTACTGATCTTGGTCGTCTGTATTTTCTCGCAGAGATGGGCATGGGCGAGTACTACATGCCGCCTGACGTCATCGCTGACATGGAGAAGTCGTCAGCAGAGCAGGCCGAGCAGCTCGTCCGCAAGTTTGTCAAGCGGGCCGTGCACGAGTACAAGGTAAAACCCTCAGACCCACAGGTTTGCTTAACCCTGCAACTCTAGTTTTGTTAGCAAAGCAAGCTCCGCCAAGCGCACCGTGCACCAGTACAAGGTAAACCCTCAAACCCAAAGTTTGCTTGACCCTGAAACAGGCCAAAAACCCTGTAACCCTGTCAGTGAATGCCTACGAATACAGGGTGAAAATCTCGAAAAAGGTCTGCTTAACCCTAGTGTAAGTGCGTAAGCTTGTTATCAGGAGAGTACGCTTAGACAGCTCACCAAATCGTCGTCAAGCGCGCCGTGCACAACTATGGTACAAGGTGAAGCCCTAAACCCACTAAGTTTTTTAACCCTCAATTCGTATTGTCGTCAGCCTGGAGCAACTCTGGGCGGCGTTCGAAAAAATGTCAGGTGATCACCCAAACAGTACATCACAAGGACCCCCAATTTCCTGTGTGTATGAAACGTAGCAAATGGTGGTGTTGAGCTCGAGTATCCCATGAATGCAGCCCTGTGAATCTTTTCTCACAGATGAAGTGCAAGGACTACGTGCTCCTCCATCGCGTATGCAACTGCCGTCCCCTCATTCACTCGCCAGAAACTGCGTGATAGTGCAAAGATTGCATTTGTGAAGCTCTTTCGTTCAAGATCTGATGAAGCTTTTTGTTTTCTTTCTTTCCGATGAAGTGCGAAAGCTACCTTTCTACACTTGTTTGCCTCGAACACCTCGATCTGCTTGAGGGCAAAGCTTCAGCCACAAACAGAAACTCTTTGACTCCTTGCTTACAGATGAAGTGCGAGGGCTACGTGTTCCACACCTGTTTGTCCTGAAAACCTCTATTTGCTTGAGGGGAAGGCTTCAGCCGCAAATGAAGCTCTCTGATTCCTTAATTGCAGATGAAGTGCGAGGGCTACGTGTTCGCCACTTGTTGTCGTTGAAACCAACATTCACTTGAAGACAAAGCTTCAGCCAGGAATGAAACTCTCTGATTCCTTGCTTACAGATGGAGTGCGAGAGCTACGTCTTCCACACCTCTCTTTCTTTGAAAACCTGTACCTGCTTCAGCCAGGAATCGGAAAACTCGGATATTCTGCTCGCAGATGAAGTGCGAGGGCTATGTCTTCCGCGGCGATGCGCGCGAGCTTTTGGTGGAGGAGACGGAGAAGCTGGGAGCCGCGGTGCTGGTCATGGGCAGCCGGGGACTGGGCGCCATCTCCAGGTAACCGCTGACACTCTCTTTCTATTTCAGCCGTGTCCAGGTAGTTAGCGCATGCTTGGTGTCAAGATCGTGGCTGGATGGTCGCCATCTCCAGGTAAAGCGCTGACACCACCCTTATCTTTTACGACTTTCTTTGAATGGTATTGGCAGATGTAGTGTCAATATCGTGGCGGGTTGGTCGCCGTAACCAGGTGAGCGCTGACACTCCCTATCAGTTTCAGCCGTGTCCAGGTCTTTAGTGCATACCTAGTGTCAAGATCGTGGCTGGTGGGTCGCCCTTTCCAGGTGGGCGCTGATACCACCGTGCCTTTCCCAGCTTCCTGTAACGGCACAGCTTTCGTCAAGTCGTTAAGAGTTGCAATCAGGATTGCTACTGGTTGATCGCAGTCTGCAGATGGACGCTGATAGCACAAGCGTTCTGCATTTCCTCCCTTTTTTTCCATTTAAATACTGAAGTCGGTGGCCGCAATAGCTCTTGACCAATCAAGCGCCTATGACCATTCTAGATTATCGATCGTCCAGTCGCAAAATCCAATTACTCAATCTGTACAGAGGAGGACGCCTCCATTGAAGCCATCCTCGCCTTTTCAGCTTTTGGGGGGTAGGCTGCGGCAGTGGGCTCGTGCTCGGACGTGCAGTATCTCACCAATGATGGAGGGACCTGAGGACGTTTTTAAGCCGTTAAAATTTTGCGAAGCCAAGCACGTTCTCGCGTTCTTTATCCTTCGTTTCAGCGGTTCAAGGAGATGCCACGTTCTCTTAATGTTTGTGACCCTCTTTGCAAACCTCGCTCCACTAACCTTTCTTTCTCGATGAACCCTCTCGCTGACCTTCTTTCTAACCACCTCATTGAGCATCTCGTGGGCGTGAGCGACTACTACCCCCACCACTGTTTCTGACCCACTTTGTGACCCTCTCCTCTTGTTCTGGTACCCTTGCTAACTCAACCTTTATCCTCTTCTAACCCTGTTTCTAACCACCTCGTCAACGTACAATGCGCAGGACCATCCTGAGGAGCATGAGCGACTAATGCGCCCACCACCGCCCGTATTTCATAACCTTCATTCTAACCTTCCTTCTAACACCTTGTTAACCATCACGCAGGACCATCCCATGACCGAGCCCATCTACTGCCCGTACTTCGGTAACCTTCTTTCTAACCCTCCTTCTAACCACCTCATTAACTACCTCGCAGGACCATCCTCGGGAGCGTGAGCGACTACTGCGCTCATCACTGCCCGTGCCCGGTGCTCGTTGTCAAGCAACCCAAGACTGACGTCAGCGCGACGCTGAAGAAGGAAGAGGAGGGGGCTAAGAAGGAAGAGGAAGAGAAGAAGCAAGAATGATCACAGGGCTTCATGGATCGAGCGGGGCTCAATATATCTCTTCTCGATCTTGATTGGGCCTAGGGAAACAAGATATTAACGGTGCTTGAGCGGGCAATACTTGGTCTTGGCAAGAGGTCAGTTTCGAGCTCCTACTGTTCGAAGAGAAGAAGAAAAAGTGTTCACGGGGGTCTCAGGGATCGAGAGGAGCCCAGTCGTCACCTGTTCTACGAAAAGGAACAAGAAGCTGCTATTACTTGTACTAGCTTGGCCAAACTCTGTCTTAGGCAAGTTTCATTTTCGACTTCTTACTGCTTTCGTAATTACATAGAAGGTCTAGGCAGAGGTCAGTCAAGCTGGAGAAAATAATTTGACGTGGCGTTAAATGCATCCGGAGGAAGTACTTGCCCCGAGAGTGAGTCGAATACCTATACTTAGTCAAGTAGAGGTTGCATAGTAAACAACGTTATCGGCGTCATCAGTCCGTCGGGCAATGAAGACTGGACATCAGAATCGGTTTGGAAGCATTCGGGCGAAGGTGGTGTGTCTCCGAGTCGGTGCCCAAGTAGTTGTAACAGACATGTGTTAGCTATAAAGGACCTTATCTTACTGTAGAATACTCCATAAAACGACAGTCACAAAACTTGGCCATTGAAAAGCCAGCCGGCCGGGCTGTAGCGTCATTGTGAGCAAGCAATGATGTATGATGCCTGACACAACATACTCCAGGTTCAAAGCATAGCTAGATGCACCGGGCGTCCGACCAGTGGCAAAAGCTCGATCCAAGCGCCGTGGCGGACAAGGATAGAAACAGAGGGAGCCGGGCGCCGTGGGCGCATGTGTATAAGATTTGATGGCAAACATTCAAATTTTGAAAGGATAAGGTGACCGGTGTCTTAGTATGACGTAGCTAGCCATATACAGGCTGCCCGGCGAAGCATCACGGGCAATCAGCTAGCTTTACGCACGGAGCTGCATGTACGTTTGTATTATATAGTCGGACCGCGTTTCAGACGCATCAACTATAACTCAGTGCCGGCGCCAAGCTGGCTCTGCGGCCAGCCGCGGCGCCCGTCAAGTCGGTGGCCCTATAGGCAGATGTATTGTACGAGTCCCCTGGCGCGCTAGGAGTTGCATTCAATGAAACTTCAATGCATTCCCGACTTGAATTGTATTATAGCTAGCACAGCACGGTCATGCTTAACAGGTTAACCACGGCACATAGATCACTAACTTGTCACTACAATGCAACGATACCCGATCAGTGGATGCTCAAGGGCTTTCAGTACACAGCTTCCATTTTGAGTTACACGGCAAATGCATCCATGCTCACACGCACAGCTTGTGGCAGTAGAAATCAAAGCTCTTGACCAAACTTCGTTGCAAAGATTCACAAGTTCAAGTGGAAAACTGCAGCGATCGCTTTGAACTCAACTAAAGGAACGTCTTCTTTACGATTTTCTCAAGAATTAACCACCTGGGATGCAGCCTAATCGATGATGAGTGTGAGCAAGTAACCTTAAGAACTTGTGACCAACTTAAGACAAGGTTTCCTTTGACCTCGACTTCAATTATCCCCTAACGCCTACTGATGATCCACAGAGGCGGTCCTGACAAGCAACAAACCTTCGACAACAAGCAACGGGTTAAGTTCGAATGGTCTCAATGTTGTTTCATCCATTCGGGAACGTGGTGACCTTCGACGCCCGCGTGTGAACCTCGTGATACCGGTGACAACCCACTGAACGCTTCAGAAAGCATTTTCTTTGGCGCTGATCATAGCTTTACATTTGGCGACGCCCCGTCGACATCGTGGCTCCCCTTATTTATGCGAGAATGCTCTTTGCCGCCAATGTGGCAGCCGCTGCGTATGCTCCTGCTTATGTATTGATCGACTACGGCTATATACCAGCAGGTTTGCTGACTTTCTGTTGTGCCAGGAATATACCTTTCTGTAGCGGGCTGTATCGGGCTCATCGTCTCTTGAGTGCAGCCGGTGTCGGCTGACGTCGGCATGATCGTCGTCCTTGCTCACAGGGGAGCCTTAGTAACTCTGAACCGGCTTGTGGATGTTCTCGCGAACCCGTCTCCTCAGCTCTTCGTTTTGCTGCAGCATACATTAAAAAAGAGTGTGAGAACGGGACCGTTTCGAGAAGAGAAGTGCTTTTGGTTCGGTCGAACAGGTTGTGTACTAAAAACAAAACGCTTCCATAATGCTTGGAGGTCTGCTTCCGACTGCAAGCAAAGAGAAGTGAGGTACAGAAGGAAAGGTCCGAAAGGAGTTCGCCTCGAGCTTCTGTCTTATCTACAAAAACAACCGTACAGACCGAGTATACCGTTTTGTCCACTCTATCCCGACGCTTAAGCGACAACACGGTTTGACTGACGTGATCCAGCATACTAACAGCGTCGTAACTTGGACAATCGAAAACTGGCTTCTTGCAAACATCCCCAACGTCGAATCGAATCGAGGATTAGAACGTCGCATAACATCGTCAGCAATCAGCGTAACCCAAGCCCCTCTGGTCTGCAGGAGGGGTTCACTCCCAGCCAGTACAAACAGATCAATTCATAAAGAAAACGGACCTGAACAAGCGCAGCGGCCTCCTCGTCAAGGCTCGCGTTTCTGCTCTCGAGGTCCGCGACCCTGGCCTCTAGCTGCGCCAGCAACAGCTTCTTCTTCTCGCGTGCCTGCTGGGCACTTACGCGGTTGCGCAGCAACCTGTAAAGGGCGGAAAGGTTCGTAAGCGGCCGGACGTTATAATAAGCCGCTGTGGCCTGTGGCATAAGCCGCTGTGGCGAGATCATGAGCAGCTGGACGATTGATCTGACGCGTTTTGTGCAGCAATTTGGAGTGGGCGCACTGAAGTTAAGCAGCAGGGAGGACAGATGAGCAGCCGAATGAACCTGACAATTGCAAAGAAAAGTTTCAAGATCGACATATCACTGTGGTTTCCGCCCTAGAGGGACCAATTTGAGGCAAAAACGCTGCATTGCGCACTGCTTCGGGTTAGATTTGGATTCCGCAGTGAAACATCCGCCGACAACTTGCTAGGGCTTGAAAAAACTCGCTCTAGTAAGGATGGAAACGTTGGTCCACTCAAGCGACTTTTCAGCCAGTTTTGACAGCTTGGGGCAGCTGCAAAAGAAGCGCAAAGAAGCTGACGAAACCTCGTCCTACCTTTTCTTTCGTCCGAGGGCCTTAGCGGGGGGAAGCCCGACCAGGGGCGCTCCGTCCAGCATGACCGGCTCGGCCTCTTCACCAACCTGGGGGTTGCTCCCCTCCGACGAACTAGACCGGGGGGTGGAAACACTAGGCGGTGCAGCCCCCAACAACGGGGAGGGGATGGGAAGCGAGGGGGGGCGGGAAGCGCTCGGGCCTGTGACAGGGAGAGTTGGCAATCAGACTTTGAGCCTGCTGATTGTTATCCTACTTCTCAAGACATCGCGTGTGGCCTCTTGGGGTAAGGCTTCTTAAACCGCGCGAAAAGGGGTGTCTATATGTGCGAGGGGGGACTTCCAGGGGGGCATCCTGCCTGTCCCAGGACCCTCTACATTCGTTTAACTCAACTGTGACATTCGTTTCCAGCGGAGACACAAAGGATGTGTTTGCAATTGTTAGAAAACAGGACAGATGCATGCACCCCCAAGAGGAAGGAAGAAAGGCGCCACTTTGTGAGGAAGGGATGCTAAGTTACCTTCCAGCACTCGCCGCCGCTTGATTTTCTTCTCCTGGTCTGCCGTCTGCCGCTGCATCCGCTTGACTGCGGCCTCCTGAGCCCTGCAGAACAATGGACTAGAGACCTAAGAACAAGGGAATCGGTTACCGGAACATTGGTTTGTATGACAGTAGGATCTGAAATGGAAGAAGTTTTGGAACAGGCATCGAGCTGGTCGCTCTACACCTTCAATCATGTGCTTGCCGCATTTTCTAGCAGGGAGGCAAAGTTGAGTCAACAGGAGCTCTCATGCCACAGAAACATGAACTGCTGACATGACTAAGTGAGCCACACTGGGGGAGAAAAGCTTACGCATTTCCCATCGGCAACTGAGGCGCGGCGGTTCCAAAGGGCGGGAAGTATCCAAAGGGCGAAAACGATGGCATTCCGTGCGTGAAGCCGGGGGGCGGAACTCCGAGCACTGGCTTCATGTCTGCAGCAAGAGCGGTGTATTCAGAAACAGCATCGATTTTTCTTTACCAACATGAAATGTTGCTAAACTCTAACGGACTTCTCAGACTATCCCATTTTCCGCCTGACTAGAACTTCTTGCTAAGGCAACTGAAGCTCTCCTTATGTCATCTTTCTTCGCACCCCCTCCCTTTGAATCACCAATGTAGAAACCAGGTCTCTTGGACTTTACCAACCATTGCAGTATGCATAGACTTTACCAACCATTGCAGTATGCATAGGAGCCATAGTTCACCTGCGCTGCTTGTGGTCGGGGCGTGATGTGCCTGCAGCAATGCATTCTTTGCCTCTTCTTGCTGTACTCTCCGCAGCATGCGCTCTTTTTTGCTGTGACCAACGTGCTGGGGGCCGCTTGTGCTAGGGCCCTGCTGTGCAGCAGAGTCCCCAAGTGTCAACGGCTGGTTCCCTGCAGGGTTAGTGCAGAAACCCTCAGTAATGCGCAGGGATGACATCAATAGATGAGGAAGCTGTTGAAAGTTGCGACACAAGTGATTGATGGATGGACTATAGCGCAAGAGATGCACAAGATACGAAGAAAGATAAAATGGCAATGAGCAGACTGGGCAGGAGCTTTCTGTGTTCAGAGTCCCAGAGGTTGATGTGCAGCCACAAATCTGCACGACCGTCTAAAACTCACAATACCAATATACGAGCTTGTGCATCTCAAATCAATAATGAGGGGCTAATCAACAACCAGCAATGTGCAGATTGACAACTCCCCGGGCATGAGCCACAACAGTTTGCCAGCTTACCTAACACTTGTTCAATCAACTTCTGCATTTCGAGCTCGTCCTGCGTCAGGGGCTGCGCAGGAGCTGCCATCCTGGGGACAGGCCGCGCGATCGGCAGAGGCGCAACGGCGACTGCCACAGAGTTGTCGCCAAATTCTCGCTGCATGGTCAACCTGCCCCTACACAGCAGGCTCTCTCAAATGCTTCAGCCTACCTCTGCTAACCAACTTCATGCAAATGAGTGGAGCCGTTATTCCAATTTGAGGATGGCAGTCAGCAAAAGCAGGGAGGCTAATGTGAGTAGGCCGTGGGGCTAACTTCGTCTATGTCACGAGGAAATTCCAGCTTTTCTCCCTCTGAGCGTGTTCAATACTTGCTCGGGCTGTAAACTCCAAACACTGATTCGTAGCTTAGAGAATGCCGCTCCTTTGTCAAAATGCATGCGGTGGTGTCATTAATGCTCTGCATCCTGAGGCAGCCTTGTGAGATAGCGGTCATGCAACCACCCTGCAGCAGGCGCAACAAAGACATGGTCAGCAGGGCATCAAAAAAAATAGTTCATGCAGCCATGCAGTCAAGCCTTCTCCCTGTTGAAGAAAACTCTGTGCCACTTCTCCTCGATGTTGTCACAGCCACCTTCTGATACTTCATTTGAAGTTGAGAGCCTTCTGACAGACATGTCAGCAGCTCCAATGTCCAAAGTGAGAGGCAAAGCCGAGCATAACTAACCTCAAGCAGGACACTTGCACTTCCATGTCTTTTGATCTAATGACACAGCGATCGCCGGCTACCTGCCTTTTCCACCCACAAAATGCAGGCAATTCTCAATAGGATCAGAAACTGTGCAAATTCCGCCAGCAAAGCTGCATGTGGGCTCAACGAGATCACCACCCCAGAAGAGCCTCACCTTTGCGCAAGCGCCCTGCTTTCACCCCAGCTCCCCCCCTGATTGAGTGCCAAAGCCGGAGCGCAGCTTGTACAAGACAGGCCTTCCGCAGGGGGACGCTTTGTCGTTCACCAGGGTCCAGGAGGTGAGCGCATTTTTTAAAATTACCCCCCCTGAGTTTATTTCATCAGCGCCGTCGGATGCATTCGATTGACTTCTTGGCCTCCTACAAACCGTCGATTGAACTCTGCAAATAAACCCCTGGAAAGAGGAAATTTGAGTGCTACAGAATCTCTAGCTGTACGCTGGAGATCTCAGGTTTGAGCTTGAACTTGGAAGTGAAGCTCTAAAGCTGCGAACTTCTCAACGACAAGGACCAGCCTGCATTATGATTGCATGCTTCTCTTGTCACTTGATATTTCCTCAAGCGCCTCCAATTTCAAGCACCTGATCAAGGCGGAAAAGCAGGGAAAAAACCTTGTGGGTGCGTTGATTTCCAGTATGGGATCACCTTTCTCATCACTGTGGGCAAGACATAAACGCGCTGTGAAGTAGGCTCACGCCTTTCCAGGATTGCGGAGAAGGAAGGGGAAAGATTCTCCAATTGCAATTCCACCATCTCTCCAGACACAGCTAAGGACACAGCATTCAGCAGCTACTGGGACTTTCGCTCATCTTTCTGAGCTTAGCTCAAGGGGTTTGCTTGTCCTCCAAGAGCATGAATCACCGTTGATTGGAATCATGGCGTGCATTTGACAGTAAGCATGGCGCTTCCCTCCATGGTGTGCCAGCGATGGCTGGCTCTGGTTGCGGGATTGTACCTTCAGGCGTGCGGTGGCAATACATATTCATTTGGAATCTGGTCTGGCGCCTTCAAGGACAGAATGGGCTACAGCCAGGTAGGAATTCGTCACCCCTTCTGAGCCTGAGAATTACAGCATTCTACTCGGATCAGCACCACTGACTGTAATTGACCACACAACTATGAGGTTGAAGCTTGCAAAGCAGATTGCCCGGTGTGAATAAGATAGAAGCGGTCTGCGTCTGATCAGAAACAGTGAAGGCTTTCCTTTTGAGATCTCTGAAGCAGGCAGCCTCTAACAAGATATGCACAGATGTAAGAGACCTGCGCCAACACCATTTCTCAATTTCCTGTTGCAAGGCGCACCCTTTTCTTTGATTCTTCATCTGCATCATCATGCGCGAACAACTTGAAGTCATAGAGACGTGCTTTCCCAAAGTCCAAGCAGACAGGACTAACCTCACTCTTCTGCCTTCCTGTTCTGTACAGCAACTTCTCAATGCCCTCGGCACTGCAAAGGACGTTGGTGACAACGTGGGGGTAATCGCTGGCACGCTGTATGACTACCTGCCAATCTGGGCCCTTCTCCTGTGGGGATCTGCGCAAAATATCCTCGGATACGGGGGTCTGTGGCTTGCAGCGTCGGGCAGGGCACCCAAACCCCCCTTCTGGCTAGCGTGTGTACTCATCTGTGTCGGTGAGCCCTTTCATCCTTGGACTATTGGTTGTGCACCGTATGTTCTAGCTCTCACTTCAGGAAGTAACTTCGTCTGTCCTATTGGGATAATCAAAGGCCCTACCACTCAATCAATGGCCTGAGGACATAGGCGCCAGATCCAGTTCCGTCGTGCTTCCAACTGCTGATCCTGTGCAAGGCGCACTTTCGCACATTAAAAAACACCACCATTCATTGTACCAACAGAACTAAATAGGTCCAACTCATACTTATTATCCCCCCCTCCACTCCCTTTGCTCAATACCACTGTCTTCGTTAAGGTTTGTCTCAGAGGTTTGTTACAGAGCATTTTGATGCTATATTCAATACCATGACCACAAACCTCAGAAACGCCTGCGCCAATCTCGTTAACACTTTTGCCGCAGGCACCAACGGGGCGACGTTCTTCCAGACGGCGGCCATTGTGACCCTCGTCCGAAACTTCCCGTCCCACCGCGGCGCAGTTGTGGGCCTCACCAAGGGGTTTGTGGGCCTGTCAGGGGCCATCTTCACCCAAATCTACTACGCCGCATTCGCCCCAAATCAGGTAAGACTGACTTTGGTTCGTTTGAGGACCACCAAAACCACACATTGGCCCTTCTGTTGATTCGAGGGCACTGACGATGATGAGAACGTTGTTCCCTGCCCGACTTCAGAGAGTGAAAGGGAAGTTTTATCTGAGTTGCCGCTCTCAGCGATGGGCTTGATACTCGACCATTGCATAAGCTGCGCGCTACTTTGGGGAGTGTAAGGAGGAATGGGAGCTTGGCGAGCCCTCCCGAGATTAAAGTTGGAATGAGAGATCAGATTACACGCAGCAATGTCGAATTTCAATACCAGATTCCGAGGCTGGGCTTTTGATTCTAAGGTGCATTTTAGCAGTCTGGTGACGCTGGAAGATCAACTGCATAAAAGTTTCACCTTCGTTTCGGACTCTGACGACTTCGCTGTCTCGTCTTCATCGTGCCCGCTTTGCGCTGACACCCATATCTAAAACTTCCCATACGCCAGGGTGCTTCTAAGCAAAGTATTATTTCCAACACCACTCCACTGCTTCTAAGCTGATTAATCTTTCCAACACCGCTTCACTTCTTTTTTTGTGCAGACCTCATTCCTCTTCCTCATCGCTGTCGTCCCGCCCCTCTTGGCCCTCCTCTGCGCAAACATAGTCCGTCCGATCTCCCCGACCGAGTCCGAAGACGAGGAAGAAGAGGAGCACTCCAACTTTATTTCGATCTACCTCATGGGCTTCTTCCTCGCCGCCTTTCTGCTGGTCAGCATCGTCTGGCGCGAGATGTTCAGAATCAGTCACCCGGTAAATGTCGCCATCACTACCGTGATGGTACTGATTCTCACCTCGCTGCTGCTCGTCCCGGCGAAAGAGTACTTCCTCGAGAAGCGCCAAGCTCGGACGTCAATCACGGATCTCGAGGCGCGCGGAACAGAATCAGTAGCGCTTGTCGAGAGTTCCCGTGGTACTCCAGAGCTCGATTTCGAAGCTCGGCAGCATTCGATCCACTTGCACGACGAGGGCGATAACTGGCTCGACGTCGAGAACCGCGCCGAGAGCATTGCGTTCGGGCTGATGACCGAGGCCGGAGATGAGCCCCCCGAGAGGACGCCACGTGGCAGCCAGGAGAGGCTGCCACGCGCCAGTTCGGAGGTTATCGACGTCGAGCAAAGAACCGAGGGCGATAAGCGATGGAGCCCTCCACGTGGCATAACCGAGGAGTCCGACAGCTCGGAAGGGGCGGGAGAACTAGAGGGGGGATGTTATCGGATGCCAAGGATCGGGATGGACCACGGAGTGCTGGAGTCGTTTGCGACGCTCGACTTTTGGGTGCTGTTTCTGTCGACCATGTGCGGGGCGGGGTCTGGGCTGACCGCCATCAACAAGTGAGCGTTTGAGGCCACGGAAGGCTTCATTTTCAAGTGCTCGTTCATAATAGGCCTCGTTTTACCTTCAGCCGAAGATTTGTCAGGGGGCAGAGATGCTCTTAGGATCTTCTGTTCGAAATCTTTTGCGTTCGGAACGGATGCTTTGTCTGCTTATCAGCAAGAGTAAGGCATCCAGACTGAGGTTGCTGGTTATTCCGGCCGTGTGCGGGTTTGAAGTGTGTGTGGTTAGAAGAGAGTGTCCTGGCGAAAGCTCGTTCCGTCGAACTTTTTTATTTGTATCCGCTCATAGTTCGTTCGTTTCGGATTCCTTTATTCTGTTTCGCCGAAGTTTGGTCCTCGAAGTTCGTCCACTCCGTCCATTAAAATCGCCTTCTTAGAAGCTTGTTCACTTACCTTCAGTCAGATTCAAACGACTCGAGGGAGTTTTGTCTCCAAAGGACTTGGTACAGAATAACCCCCTCACTAACCCACGTTTCCTACCGAAGTCCGGCACACTTGGGGCACGTCCGTTCTGTCACAAGAAGACAGCGAAAAAGCTGTCGCCGACCCATCTCAGAACAATCGACAAATTGGGGACTGTTCCGAAGCTGATTTCAAACTTGCATTTCCTGCCTGCAGTCTGACGCAGGTAGGCACCTCCCGGGCCGTGGGCGACAGCGTCGGGCGCGTTCGTGTTGCTGATCAAAGCTGATTAAATACAATCCGCATAAACCACCCTGAAAATCCGGGTTTACTGCTCGCAGTCTCGTGCAGATTGGCACGTTCCTTTGCGCGGGCGACAGCGTCGGCGTGTTTTGTGTTGCTGATCCATCTCACAAGGACATGAAATCCGCTACAGCTGTCGAGCTAACCACCCTATAACCCGCGTTACCCACTCTCCTAAGCCGCATTTCTTGCCCTCAGTCTGGCGCAGGTGGGCGCGTCCCTCGGCGCGGGCGACAGCGTCGGCGCATTCGTGTCGCTGATCCGTCTTCGATATAGCTTCAGCTAACCACCCTATCACCCGCTTTAGACTAACCCGCGTTAAACAACCTACTAACCCGCTTTTCCTGCCCTCAGTCTGGCGCAGGTGGGCGCGTCCCTGGGCGCGGGCGACAGCGTCGGCGCATTTGTGTCGCTGATCAGCATCTGGAGCTTCCTCGGACGCATGGGCGCGGGTCTCGTGTCCGAGCACTACGTCCGAAAGTACGGCACCCCGCGGCCCGTCTTCTCGCTGATCACGCAGGCCATCATGGGCGTAGGTGAGACCCCGTGTTTCTTGCGGCGATCAGTTGCCGCTGGATATACCGGTAACTCTTGTGAGGCTTAACAAGCGTGTTTCCTAAGATTTGAGTTACCCATTTGCTTTTAGTTACCCAGTTCATTAAAGAAGGGGCCAAAACCAGATATTGACCGCACCGAAGCGCACCGTAATTACTACTAACCCCAACCCGTCCTTCGGCGCGTACCGTTAGTCACACGCCTCTTAAGTCACATGAGACTCGCTAGCACTTGACGGAATCAAGGCATCGCAAGGCTCCAGCTAGATGTGTGATGGCTGCCTTTCTGATACGGAGAGATGTGTTGTGACGCCAGCGTTTCGATCGCCTTGGTGATCGAGGACCCCTATCATTGTTTTGGGGAGACTCATTGTTGACGGGTCCTCTCTGCTCCAGATTGCTGCAGCGTTTGCTGCTCACCTCATCTCATCGGATTCTGTGCCTGTCTTTACACAACTTCTCGCCTGCTTATGTCATTTTTGTCATGCAAATATGCACCGCGATAGTCATGGCATGGAAAAGGCCTATACCGTCATCGAGCTAACACTGTTGATCCTGGGTGTATTGTCAGATCGAATCGATCTGAAAGATGCTTCCGTATCCGCCCCCAGGGCACCTTCATTTTGCCTCCGCCTTTCTCGCCAGGTCCACGTCGCCTCTCTCGTTGTCTCTTTGCAGACCCTTCTTCCACAAAACGCCGTCCAAGTGCCCTTGCCTTAACCCATTTAGCCACGTAGTAGAACACTTATTCAAAAGCTTGTTGTTGAACCATGTTGCCAAATTTTCAAACCACGCTCTATCAAATGCGGTTTCCATCCCTCAAACAGGCCACCTTCTCTTCGCGTCCGCCCTCCCCGGCAGCCTCTACGTCGGCTCTCTTGTCGTCTTTTTGGAGAATCTTCTTTTGTTTTGCTTCTCCGAGCGTCCTATTACCGGTGTTTCAAGCGCTCCATCCATCTCCCAACAAGCCGACCAGAGAAACATGTAACCTAGTTGTCAAGTGAAGGCTCGAACTCATACCATGTTGCCAATGTTTGAAAACACGATTTCCATCCCTCGAACAGGCCACCTTCTATTTGCATCCGCCCTCCCCGGCAGTCTCTACGTCGGCTCCCTCATCGTCGGCCTCTGCTACGGCGCGCAGTGGACGCTCATGCCCGCGATTGCGAGCGAGCTCTTTGGGCTCGCGCACTTTGGCGCCATCATGGCGTGGCAGTCCGTGGCCAACCCGTCCGGGTCCTACATTCTCTCCGTCCTAGTTGCCGGCTACCTATACGATATGGAGGCGGACCGCCAGAGCCACGTGCCCCACCCGACGGCGCACCCGGGGCTTGGCGGGACGGATCTATCGCCGTACTGGGGAGCAGTGAACGAGACGCAGCGGGAGGGGGGGTGGAAACCGTTGGGGCGGCGGATTTTGGAGACTGATTCTTCCGGGGGGGCACCTGGCAGCGGCTGGGGGGTTTCTTGGTTGTGGGCTCTTTTGGGGGGTAGTTCCGATTCGGGGGGTTCTGGATTGGGGGCGCTTCTGGGGGGTGCTTCGAGGGCTGGGGGGTCTATGTTGAGGGCGCTTTTGGGGGGGTATTCTGAAGAGCGAGTGGCGAGCAAGACGTGCATCGGTGCGCGCTGCTTCCGGCTGACGTTTATCATCATGGCGGGGGTGTGTCTTTTCGGGGTGTGTTTGAATGTATGGTTAACGATCCGCACGCGAGAGTATTACCGGGGGGTGTGGAAGGAACATGTCGAGAAGGCGGCGAATCGGGAGAGCGAGAAGGGGAGTGCCGCAGGGGAGTCGGACGTTGTGAGCGACGCGTCAAGGACATGAGTCAATTGTAAAAGCAAAGTAAAAAATAGCATGTTGCGTCCAAATGTCATTATAGATTGGTTACTGTGGATTCTCTTGTGTCTGTTTTGTGTATGACGGCCTTTGAAAGAGAGGCATGGCTAGCTGCTCGAATGTATTAGTGTCTGCTGAGGGAGTTCAGGTTCTGAAACGTTCCTCTTTACTGTGGCCGGTACTCAAGGTTTCGCTTGTGCTCAAGAAACTGTTTGGTGAACAGGTCATCTTACACGTACTCATTGTTAAGGTCGCTTGTGAGTACCATGAGGTCCAATGACCAAAAGAGGATGCATACTCGCAACTTGGTTCGCTTTATTTAAATTCCATGGCAGTGTATCAAAGCTATATGGTCGACAATCCGAAGAACGCATAAGAATTGGGCGGCGGACTCCTGGCCGGTACCGTCCCATGCAGTTTCTCCTGGCACCGCGTGCATGTAGCCATGCTGGCATATCAATCTCATGCTATAAGTTAACCCATGAGCGGCCGGCCGCCATTCTAAAGCATATATAATTGACGCACTTCCGACGGTGTAGGTATTCATGCGCCCTATACCTAGCTAGACATGGTGCATGTGCAGGCCTGCAGCAAATGCAGGCCTCTAGAGACCTCCTCGGTTTCCTCATACATGCAAGACCCACATGCCAGCGGCCGGCCTGCGGAAAACTAAATTCCATATGGCTGGCATGCAGAGCTTGTTTGCTTGCATGCCAGGCGCATGACCACCGTCGTCGCACGGGGCAACCAAGTTTCGCAGACATGGAAATCTGTGTGGTATGCTTTAAGGAGGTGTGATCTAAGCAGTTCGGTCTGCCGCATGGGAAGATTGCACCAGCCCATAACTTCAAGTCGTGTCTCCATAATGTACCATCCCATGGCAACATCAAGAAGCAAATTTGGACCATCCACTCCTGATCCCGCTGACATAAGTAGTCGCACAGCACGCCGCTAACCGGCACTAGTCAAGCGTTGGCGCTACCTCTCCATGTGAGACCCTTGTGATCGTTTGCCCCATCCCGCTCAACAAGCAAATCTTGTCAGTCTGTTGCCATAGATTTCACCCCCCAACTTCGCTCAGACTCCGCCCCTCAGTCCGCTTCGTAAATCTCAACCCCCCAGTCTGCTCAGCAAAACTCACGCCCCCAGCTCCTCCTCCGCACCTTCCTCCGGCTCCTCCACCTCTGGGAACAGCAGCTTGAGCACGGACATGAGCCTCGGAACCACAACTAGATCCGCGACATTTACGCTCATCATGTCGAATGCGACGCACGTGCGGTCGGTGAAGCTCTCGTCGACGACCGGCATCTTCGGATACCGCTGGCTGAAGTGCGTCAGGATCGTACGGAACGCGCCCGCGGCCGCGCCAGCTGTCACCGCCTCGCGCGTCGTGCTGTGCCGCTTGGCGAGGGCCTCGTCCTCCAGCTCGTTGTCGAAAGTTGCCTGCAGAATAAAGGGGAGGGCTTCAAAAACAGGGCCCGGAGGATGGTTGGAGCCCGAAACGCTTCTTCCTTCCCCTTTGCAGAGAGCGGGACGAGGGCACCGGGATAGTCTGCAAATACTGGAAGAAACTTGAAAAAGGAGCACGAAAGTCTACAGCAAGTCCTTACACATTTGGGATGGATTCGAGATCGGCACGCGGGCAGGAATAAGAGAGCGAGGAGGGAGTTTCTCAGCAGTGGCCTTCGCCTGCCGTTATCAAGATGGTCAAACAAAACGAACCTTCCAAACCGACGCCCGAAATTCAACGACCCGTCCAACAATTGACAACTGCACCTAATGAAGGACCAAAGCAGTCCCTGTCCCCCATTGGAGCTGGTAAGAGCGCTTGAACCGTTATACTCTTATTTGACTCCCTGCTCCGTCCCCACACGACCGAACCCTAGACCTTTGAGAGACACAGGGCGAGTCCCCTCAAAACTATAGAGGGTAGACAATGTTTCAAGGATACAGTCACGTTCCGTCTGCAAATCAGATTCCCAAAGCAAATCTCAGGGCGGAGCGTTACCTCGTGAATGAGGACCGTGGCCCCCTGGCTCGCCTCCACAAACCTGTAAGAGTGCGTGACTCGCGCGTTCTTTTTTTCTGTGGCTCCCTGATGTCCGCCTGGATTGCCCTTCGTACGACACATCCAAAATCTGAGAGATAGATTGAAGATCCGTCCAAGATAGAAAGACGTTGAATCTGCAAAGAAATCAAAAAATAGAGTCTCACCTCGTGAATGAAGGCTGTGGCTCCCTGGCTCGCCTCCACAAACGCTGCACACGGCCTGGTATCCCCCGAGTACGCTAGCTTCATCCCCGGCCGCTTTTCCGTTCCCTCCGTTTCCATAACCACCCCGTACGACTGCGGGCAGTGAATCACCTCGACGCTAACCAGGCTCGTTAACCCTACCCTCGACATCGCCTCGCGCATCGCCGCGCTTTCTCTAGAACCGGTGTCGAGGTCCGCCCCGATCCCAGTGAACGGCTGGAGCCCGGTTCTACTGGTCACACTCCCCCGGTTGCTATCCCCGACCGTCTGCGCGCAGTCTACGAACACCATATCCATTTTCTCGACATTATCGTACGCGGTTAAGAAGCGCCGGAGCAGCCGCGGCGCGACCACGACGAGCGGCTGCGCCGGGAGGTTTAGGGCTTCGCGCGCCACCTTGCGCGCGGCGATGATGCGCACCAGCCCCGCGTGGTGGTCCGCGTGGATGTGCGAGATCCACACCAGGTGTAAATGCGCCACCACCGTGTCGCCCAGCTTGGCGCCGTACCTGAATCGGATCTCGAGGCTTTATGGCTCTGAATGTTCGTTTTACGAACACCTGAAAACTTGGAGTTTACGCGTGGTGGTCTTCAAGAAGTCCAAAAGGGTTACTGGTGCGAGCAGTACCTGTTAGTGTTTCTGTTTGTTGACTTTCCTGAGCCCCAAAATTTCTAGATCTCCAGGCCTGAGGGTCTCGTACTAGTCTGACATGTTCCCCGGTCGTGAAGAGGCCACCCGCAGTGGTCGTCCCGTTTCAATTTGTAAAACAGGGCGGTTCAAGTTTTGAGGTTGTTTGCAGTCAAGGACCGGAAAGGCTCTGACTTCACACGAATCTGTATAGAGGATCAATCAGGTGCAGAATACAGGATAACGAAGTAAGAAAGACATGATTAAACACGCTTTGCAGAAAAAAGCCTTGAAAAAATGGACGGAGGTCCAACTAAACCCGTCCAATTGGACGCAATATTACCCCGAATTGCTACAATGGAATAGACAGCCGTGTACGTGTTCAAAATATAGACCCGTCCTGAATAAGAATACGGACAAATACGTAAGTCAGAGCTGGCACGAGCTGCAGCAAGTAGCTGGCGCTAGAATTTGGCGCCAACCAACCCGGGGAACGTGTCGTCCGATCAGCGAACACTCAATTTTCCATCTGCTCGTATACTACGATGAATTGCCAAGACCCTCAGCCAAAGCCTTGGATCAGCAGGGTCTTATTCAAGCTAGACCCAGAACTCAGAAACTTTCTATTCCCTCAATAAATTTGCATGAACGACAATCACCCTCACCTCCGTTTCAGCTGCCCGTACGTCCCTTCCCCGCAATCCATCAGGAACCCGCCCCACGCAAACCGGTGGACGTATATCGCGCTCACGTTCCGGTACTTTGACGGCTGGGATGACCCCGTTCCCAGAAACACCAGCTCCATTTCTTCCCGACCCACCCCTTGTAGGCACTCCGGCACCGCCTGCTGCGACCCAGCGTCCGAAACCCCTAAATCTTTGTCCGAAACCCCTAAACCCGGGTCCGCAACTCCTAAACTCTTGTCCGGAATGGTCAAATCCTCGTCCGAAACCCGCAAAGCCGCCTCCGGAACCCCTAAACCCGCGTCCGAACGCCCGCCGTCATCGACCGTTAGCCCACGCACCCTCCACGCATCTGTCGAATCGTCCACGTTCATCGAACCGTTACCGCCCACTTCGGCACCGTTGCCGCTCGGGCCTGCGCTGGCTCCGTCTCGGGTTGCGTCTTCCGCAAACGTAAGCAACCGGGGGTCGGGACCCGCGATCCCGGACACGTCTCTCGCCGCGAGGATTGCCTCGGGGGTCGCGGTGATGACTTCGTTTTGCAATTGTTCGACGTCGAGATTGGCGGTGACCAGCGATTCGTCGAGGCCTTGCTGGGCGACGGGGCGCAGCGTAAACTGCAGCGAACGGAATGGCGTTTAAATAAAGGCAACGGAAGAGCTTACCAGAAGCGACACGGAAGGGGGATACAGTGCGGTTTTTCGAACATGGTGCATAACAAGGCGTCGACCTTGTGACCAGATTACGTGAGGAACAAGCGCCCCAATGCTGTCACCCTCGAAGCAAGTTGATATCGACCATCATCGACGTTTCTTACATACTTTTCCGTCTGCTTTTCAATGGGAGTTTTTGTTGCAGAAAACTATATGCCCAGAAACGTCACAAGGAAGAGCAGCCCTTCTTGGTTCTCACCATGCGGCCTTATGCAGCCCTCTGCTGACATCATCCGAGCCGGTGAATCAGCAGGAGCAGTCCGCTGACGCCCGCCAAAACACCAAACACGGGGACGCAGTCTGGATGTAGAAAAATGCGAAGCAAGACCATCAAATACAGAAACACTGTACCAACTGAAAACCTAGAACCGAAGATAAGAAGAGCAAACCAGACTTCCCGGGCGTAGTCTTACTTTGAGCAGATTCTGACCCGGCACGAGGTCGACGGCGCCCGCGCTTTTCGCTACGTGGGCAGCGACCACTTCGGCGGCTTCGCCCGCCTCTCTCGCGGCCGCCTGCTGCTCCGCGGGCATGTGGAGGGGGAACACCTGCGAAGGACACGTGTCGATTCTACATTGGCTAGGCTTTGGAATTTTGAAGCGGAAACACTTGCCGGGTACTTCTTGAGTCAGTGAACAATAAGCTCTTGACTGAATCATAATCTGAAGCAAAGGTATTCGCGCTCTGCACCCGCACCCACCCAAACTGACCCCACCAGTGTTCCGGTGGCTCTTATGGTTCTTTGAGCTCACTGTTCATGGGTCATCGGAACGCCCGTCGGCGCGTCACGCAATCAACCACTTTCGAAGCAGCACTCGGGACGGCACTAAGGATGCACTTCTTAATGTCCAACAACCTTTGCTTGAAGTGTTAAAAGTGAGCCAAGGGAAAACCGGACTGATCCTCAAAAGCTTGATTCACTTCAGAAGTGATCTACACGCAAATCCATACCAGATTCAGACTCCGTCCGAACTCAATAGCAAAGGGGAAGTACCCTGCCGGGCCCTGCGTGAGTAAGGGACTTCCGAGAGATTTCGGGACGGCACTAGAAGTGTAAATCGCCCTTCCGTTTGAATGTTCTAAAGTGCGTCATAGGGAGATATGAAACCCCGAAGCGTGAAATTCTGAGCCCCTAACTTGGAGACAAGACTGAACCCAAACCAGGCCTAGACCCGAACCCAGACCGATTCCAAGCCGAAGCGGATCAAGATCCAAGATGGCACCAAGCCGAATAGATTGAAGCATAAATCGGAACCCAACATATTATCTCATTCCGAAGCACCGACAAACCCTCACCTCTGGAGCGATGCAGTTCAGTTTGGCGGTTAACCGCATGCTCGAGATGTAGACGGGTCGGCCCAACCCGTGGTGCCCATAACCCGCGACCACGTGTTTGGCTCCGCCCAAAGAGGCCACCCACTGCTGATACTCAGGGAGCTCCACTACGGCCGGGGGGCTCAAGTGAATCACCACGTTAGCCTGCAAAGAATTGGTTTCAAATGAATTTGTGGTCATCTCATACATGTACCGTACTGGCGATTGATTCCGGCACAGGCTCATGATGAGTTCGTAGGCTTGCCGAAAATTCTTGATAATGTCGAGAGGCAACAGCAATTTTCTTTAGCAGGTAACAAGGGGCCTGCGGGAGTCTCGCGGGTTCTAAGAAAGACTTGTGAGGTTGAAGGGGCCGCATTGGACAGCAGTAAGGTTTTACGTCCTTCGGAAAAGGCCGCCGTTGATTGAGGTGTTGACTATGCATCCTACTCGATGACCCGAATTTAGCAGGCGGACGTGCGATTGGTTGACCGAAAAGGCGGTGGGACGTCTGGATGCCGAGCTTCTCATCACGAGGCACGGTCAGGCTCTTGGCACTCAAGGTGTGGCTTTATATCAGTGACGAAGTGCATCCCTCAAAACGGGCATCCTTCAAATCGTTGGATCCTAAAAAGCGAGCTCGCGGGCCATTTCTTTCAGAAACGATTGATCACATACTTCTTGACTGCCCAAGCACAGAGGCGAGCATCACTTCTTTCCAAAGACCTCGACCAAGAAGACCAGCCTTTGTTTCAGCGACTTCTCAACCAAACAAATGCAGATTAGCACCGGAGCCAGCATTAACAATCTTTATCTTCACCTGCTAAACCCCGCTCTCACCTGCTTCCCACCCTCCGCCCCCTTTTGGAACCGCGCGAGGCCCTGTGCGCCCACCAACGCACCCAAATGCGCGGGCGTCGGGCAATCCACCAGCACAAAAACAGGGCCCGATGTTGTCGGCCCCATCACATCGCTCGGCTTGATCACCTGCCCATTCGGCGCGGTCACCGTTTCCCCCTGAACAAGCCGGGAGTAATCTTTTCCAGGGGGTAAGCCCCGGGCCTTCGCTTTCCCCGGGTCGAATTTACCCGGCACGTCCGGAAGCTCGCAGATGTAAACCACCGATAGCTTGGCGTCTTCCCCCCCGCGCGGAGTCGACGTTTCCGGGGGGGGAGTTCGAGGGGAAGGGGACGGGGAAGCGGAGCCCCCCCCTTCGAGCCGGAACCGTTTCGGGTTGCTTTCGAGGATCTCATCTTCCTTCCCTCCCGCTTCGATTTGTTCCATTCCCGCGGAAGCAAGTATTTCATCACCCTCGGGTGCTAAAACGACGGAACTTATCGTCACAAAATCGTCACGGTACACTTCTTTCGCGCCGCCGGGAGCTGACCCCGAACTTCCGGGGGGGGTGGGGGGCTGGAAGGCAACTCCCGCGTTCGCATGTTCCGTCCCAAAGGGATCCCTCCGGAAGTCGACCGGGCCGAAACCCCCCGAAGAAGTGGTGGCTCGTCCGAGGCTGCCGTCGCGCTTGAAGCAGTAGGTCTGACAGCCAAGAGCGCGCACTGGGCAAAAGGCGCCCATTGCGTCGACGAGTTGGTCCAAAGGGGGGGGACCGTACAGGCCCATCTGCAAACAGGAAGCGAACCCCCCACTTCAGAATGGTTCTGAAAGGGCGACTGCAGCTGCAACGTACAAAGCTTCCGCGATCTCGCTTTTCATATGACAGAGATAAGTTGTAGAAGAAACACGCTCACAGACTAAGACGAGGAGGTTTACTTGGAGGTGCGGGTGGCTTAAATTAGGAGCAAGGGATCCCTCCGGATTGGAACGCTCGACACGTTTAACCCCTCCGCTTGAAATTCTTATTGCCAGAAGGAATATTAGACTCCAGGAAGCGAGAGTACACTTATTGCAGCGCATCGAATCCAGGCTAGCGCATGGCCTAATTGAGGAACGACAGAAGTGCCAAATCAGGTTTGGACACGGGTCTCATGAGGACGAACTCGGCGAATGGGGAGTCGAGTCGAGTGCCTCACCCCTAGGGGCGCTCCCGTTACCGAGTGCAGAGTCAGCAGGAGACCTGAAAAGAGAGAGTCAGAAAAGTCATGAACGGTTTGTCGAGACCAGCTTTGGTCTCTGCTGCATCTGGAAGAGGTTTTGCGATCTGCATCAGAGATCGCACATCAGCAGCCCTGTTTGAGGGGGGTCATTCGACAAAGGACCACCATGAGAGACTTCGAGAAGAATGGTCTTCCAGCATATGTTTGGCACGAACTTGAGGAAGTTTCTTTTCTACGAGAGCCACAGAAACCGCAAACAGGAGAATTAGAATGCTCAATAACACCAGAGCCTAAACAGAACAGAAGGAGAAAGTAGATCTTACCTGGAAGCCCTCCGAATGTTTCTGACGAGACCCGTGAGAAGAAGAGGTGATTGAGCTGCGCCAAAAGACGGAGTCAATTTGAAGCTAAAGCGAGTCCTGAAGTGGTTCTCCTTTCCCCAAAAATCGGGAGGAGAGCTTTGCTTGCCTGGCCAAGCAATGAAAGACGCAAACAGGGTTTTCGTCATCCAACTGGGATTGGATTCGATGAGCTTACACCAGCATGACCTTATCAACCACTGGACGTTCGTGGAATACAACTTTCTAGGATATTCCCACAAACGTACACTTCTTAGAACGCTGGAAGGGTCCTCTAAACGTCATTGCAAGCAGTCATCCTTCTGCCACTTAATTTGAATACAATGCACCTGGCGAGGCATGAGATTGATTAGAGCAGCAAAATGAAGACTAGCAAGCGAAATGCGACAGTATAATAAACCAATGAAGGCAAGAGCCGTGGCTAACCTTGCTCAGACGGACTTTGTGCTCAATGCAGTACCGCTGGAAGCCCTGAAGAGTCAAGGGAAGGCACACTTAAAGACTTGGTTGGCAAGATTGGATCCACAAAAGAAGGAAGATGCATGTTATCATCAAATTCCTGAAGTAACACAATTGTCGAGATACAAAGCTTCAGTGAATAGAGGAGATTCAAGAAACTTTTTCAGGACAAGGGGCTAGTAGGGGTGGGGAGGTGGCGGGGCCTTACTCGAGCAACTTCGCTTCCTCATACCTTTCTCTCCGGGGTTTTGATTGGTGAGGCAAGAATCTCATCTCTCAGAAGCATTACAGCACAAAGGCAAGCCAACACCAAGATTGCACACGGGGTTCCAAGCTCACCTCGCCAACATTGAACAGGAACCTTTTGTTGTCAAAAAAGAGGAGGACGCTAGGACCGGTGTCTCCGGTGTCCATTCCGGTGCCCAACACCTATAAAGAAACCAAGCATAGTTCATTGGCGTTCCACAATTGAGCGTTGGAAAGCAACCGACATATTCAAGGCTAGCGCTCTTTGACTCTCCATTGTTCAGCTTAGCAGTCTCAGTCAGTGCGCCACTTCTGTCTGAGTCTCAACATGTGTCAGACTACGGTTTCCGCTGATCCTATGCCTGCAATTGCATCTGGTCAGGCTACCTTACTAATCTCACCGAAAGCAAAGAGTATCTCTTCATTAGTAGAGGCTAGGACAAAATTCCGCAGATGACTTAAACGGCCAGCAGCGCCTAAAGGTGGTTGGAGCCAGCGACTCACTAGTGAGAAAGTTGATGAAAATGCCTCTATTGAACCTAGAGGGCGCGCAGAATTACTGCAGAATGCAGCATGTAAAGCATGACTTGCCTGCACATAGCAGTTGTAATGCTGCGGCGTCCTGTTCTCCCCCTTTCCATCCCTTTTCGCGGTTGCCGCCCCGGCCGCCGCCGCCTGGTTTCCTTTCGCACGCCCCATTGCAACACCAGCGCGCACCACCGAAGCAGACGCACTAAAACCGCCGGCACTAGTTACTTGCCGCCCGAATCCAAACTCAGAGGCGCCGCCAAAGAAAGAAGTTTTACGGGCAGGTTGAAAGTGGGAACCGAGCAGCCGCCCGCTGACGTGCTTGATGTGCCGAGTGGTCGCGCCCCAGGGCAATCTCTGCAGGAAGGACGCCGTTTTGAGGGGCTCTTTTGCCGTGCTGCTAAATGAACCTGTGATGCTCGAATGCTGAGCGTAAGTTGGAGGATTGGTGGCGCCTTTAGAAGGGAGTGCGGATGAAAGTAGGGGCGGCCCAACTATGAAGGGCGCTGGACAGGACATGAGGCCGCCTTCTTCCAATACGTTAACAGACCACTTTGATTCTTTGAACAATGCTGAGCTTCGAGTGTTTCTGCATTTCCGGAGGGACGGTACCCTTGGGTCCCGTAGCTCGCGGCACTACGGGGCGGCGGTACGTACCCAGAACGTACCCAGAGGCCTGCAAATCTTCCCGAAACCCTGGGCGGCCGCGTGGCGCCCCCGCGCCGCCGTCGAGCCGCGGCTTATAGCTGATCCCAGCCTGCGCATTTTAAATACAGTCCTTCCAAGGGATGCTCCCCAGCCTCGCAGATGGCCTTAAGGCAATAGGAATCGGCGTTTGAATGAAATGGACGCCGCTACGGCGCCGCCAGGGCAACCTCAGCCGACACTCTCCCAACCAAAGTCGGTACGGGCGCATGAGTATACTGAATCATATACCCCAAGAGTCGACGAGATGTACCCAAACGAGTTCCTCCATTACGGCTTGATGATGGCCTTGGCTCATAGAAAGGAGAAGGAACGACAGGCGGGGGAGGCAGCTGAGCAGGCAAAGGAGCTGGCAAGGAAAAGGTGTATAGCCGAGAAGAAACTGGCAAGGCAGAAGTATATAGCCGAGAGAGTTGCCTCGGCGCGGCGACTATTGGGGGCTTGTTGCCACTTTAAATCCACGAGAGGAAAGAATTGCGGCAGGGAGCTGGACATGCAGACTGAAAAATGAGGCTCACCTTGTTAGTACTCAGTAATGATAGTAATGCAAGTATAAGCTGGTGCCTTTTAAAGGTTGGAATTTGTTAGACCGTAACGAATGCCCAACGAATGTCTATCGTGTACAGCGCGCTTTGGCTCTTGGACGTTTCTCCCTGTTTGAAGTTGCTTCAAATTCTCTCAAAGGCGAGCTGAAGCATAACATTGCAGATGGTTCCTTTGACAGCCCCTTTTGTATCGGCCTGATCACGTCAAGCGGTGACGGCTATGGTCCTGGAATCCTGGGCGTTCAGGTCGCGCCATGCACCCAAGGATCCGGCTTAATCTTTTTAAGTCTTATTGTCAGCTTGCCATAGTACAGAATTACCGTTGCGGTCCCAGTTCAACGCTCAGGAAGCATCTGTGGTCGGCTGCACATGCTGCATGAGGACGGCCTGTATAACGGCCCGACTGCGCCTCTATATATGCTGCTTGCAGCGTGTTGCCGTTTGTTTAGACTCGAATGACTGTACCTCTCTGCATTTGTTTTCGAATGTTGGTTCAAGTGCACTGCAGCCACCTTTGAACCTAGGATGAGCGGGGCAAGAGCATGATTGTCTGGGCTTTGCCGAAGGTTTCACAACAACGTCAAATAAGCACTTGTTGACCGTAAAACTCGGTCAAACAGTGCTCGGTTGCGGCATCAAGATTGAAGGGGATCTAAATCCAATGTTGCTGAGCTTTTTGTTTCAGATGTTGGACTTGGAGGTACGTGTTATACGGTATAGCTATCTCGCAAGCACCTGGATGACGTGTTTAGCGGCACCTCATTTCGAAAGAGCCGATGAATTGTTAGAAACTATGGTTCCAGCTCCCACATGCAGCTTACTAAAAATGGTCACCAAGCAATGAGCTCGGGCCGGCAATCTTCACCACTTTGTACCATGGCACTGCCCACAGTTTGCTCTTGAGTCATACTATGCACAACTTACGACAGTTGGTAAGACTGCAGGTTGCTCGACTCGTCCAAGTGGAAAGGAGAGGCGAAAGTGAATTGCTTCGCCGTTACTGCTTGTTGTTATAGACATGAAAGATCATTTGCAAACATTCCTCTAGAAGAATCCAAAGAAAGTTCGACCAGGGACGTACTTCGACAAAGAGCGCACAGTCGCAGTACAGCGGCACGGAGTGACCGTTTCTACTGGATTATGTAGATCAACATTGAATGCATCCGTGCAAGGCATCAGTGCAGACTGTATGGTTAGTACCTACACGATCAGTCTTTTCATGTTCTGTTTGTCCGGCTCCCTTCCTGAGTCTTTCTAGCATTTTTGTGGGGCCAGCAAGCCCCCAAGAACCGCCGCACCAAGGCCATCTTCTCCGCTCTATGCTTTTGCCTCGCTAGCTTCTTCTCGGCTTTCTCCTTTTGCCTTGCCAGCTCCTTCGCCTGCTTAGCTACCTCCTCCGCCTGTCGTTCCATCTTCTTTCTTCTAGCCACGGCGACTGCCAGCTCGAGCTGGCGGCACTCGTTTGGGTACATCTCATCGGCTCTGGGTTTGTAACGTCTAGTAGAAGTCGAAGTTGCTTGGCACAACGCCTTTGTCTTCGTAGCCTCCTGTTGCCGCCCTGGCGGCACGGTCGCGGCATCCATTTTCAGAAACTGTGACACCGTCGCCAAGATCTTGAAGGCTGCGAATCTGAGCAGCAGTATTTTATGGAACCCTCGGAGGCGGGAAGCTAGCTATATAGCCGGGGTGGCGGCAGGCAAACCACGGCCGCGCACGCGACTAGCGGCTCGGCCCCCTCGCGGCCGCCCAGGGTTTAGGGCAACTTTGCAGTCTTAAAAGACCTGGTGTGCTACCTGAAGTCAAACCTGGCTTAAACCCTGGGTGGCCTGCCGAGGTCGCGGCCGTAGGCATGCCGTCTCCCCCCAATTTCTCCTCTTCAAGGACCTAGGATGCTGCACAACTTTGCCAGCTTATGAGAAGCCTTCAGAGCGTTAGCCACCGCACCTTACAGAATGGATGCGACGATGGCGCCGCCAGGGCAACCTATGCAGACACTGTCCCAACCTGGCAGACTCTACGTTAAGCCTTGTAACCCTAGAACCAGCAAGATGTACCCAGACTTATGACACCAGTTCGAAATAATAGCCGACCGTGCTATTGAACGTAAGAAGGAACGAGCGGCGAAGGAGGCAGAGAAGCAGGAAAAGGAGCTAGCGAGGCAACAGTATGTAGCCGAGAAGAAGCTGGCGAGGCAAGAGTATGTAGCTAAGAAGAAGGCTTCAGTGCGGCGGCTGTTTGGGGCCTGTTGCCCATCAATAGGAAGAAAGATTTCTGGCACAGAGCTGGTCAGACATCCCGAAAAGGCTGACCTTGTTAGTACTGGCTGATGCATTTCACGGATGCGTTTGTTCAACACGAAGCCTGGACGGACTGTCATTCTGTCTCTGCGATCTCTGTTCGCCTTCGATTCCGGATGTTCGTCCCTGTTCGAACCGCTTCGGTTTCTTTGAGAAAATTGGAAGACACCATTGCGCGTATCTGACTCTTACCGATGCGTCCCGCTTTCTCTGTAGCGCCTTAGTCTGTCAGTCTTCGTTAATTTTTACCTCTGGCACATTAAGCAGTGAAGGCAATAAACCTGGTCTTCTGCAATTGAATCTCGTGCGCTTCACTTGGATGACTTTTGAAAACCATAACTCTTGTCGTCGATCAGCTTGCCATTCAGTGGTGACCATTTAATTGCCGTCCCAAACTATAGCGAGCCGGGACCTTCTACACTTACCATTGCAAGTACTGCACTGGCGCAGATCACACAGCCGCGATCCTAGCTTGCTGAGCCCATATACCGAGTACTGTACACAGCGTTTGGTCGATCGCTCCGGCACATTGTGCTTTTGTCAATCGCGATCGTCGGATCGAGACTGTTTCGGCTTGCATTCACTGCTTCCCCCAGAATATGCGACCTTGCGATTAAGCTGTCCGTAATTCTATAGCGTTCGCCAATTACGCATGCCCTGTATTCGAATAAGCATCCTGAATCTTGACATATAGGTACCATGCCAGGATGGTGCGTGCGGAATTGCAGTGCCGATCAGTATACCTCGAGCTACTTGACGCAAGTACGCGCCCTGGCATGCGGGAGCGTAGGCCAAAACTGCGTGCACCAAAACATTGTGGTATGCAATTTTGATGGCCCATTCATCTGAGATACGGCCCGGTCAATCTGCTCCTGCACCGGGGAAAGTGCACTGCAGATGAATGCTCGTTTGCGAATCAGTGCCAATGCTTGCTACGAAGATGATTGTGAAACGATCTTGAATCTTTGGAAATAGACAGATCGAAGCACCCAACGGCTTGATTGTACTCAAAGACCGACTTGTACGTTGAGCAATTTGTTAGATGGTCAATTAGTAACAAGCGTGTCTTGCAGAGCTCTTGCCAAGACTGGTTCGTCAGAACTCCGACGAAGCAAACAGGCAAAAGTGCTCGGCATAACAATGTCCCGCGCCACCTCTCCTAACATCAAAGTTTATCAAGTAATCATGCAAGGAAATAAGCGGCCCGCATGCGCGGTGTCTAAGCAAAGAATCGCAGCAGCCCTGAAACCACAGTGACTGCCGACGCTCTCGCCGGTGACTCCACGCTATTTGCGGGCATGATCTCTTCCTTTGACACTCTGTCGCCATCACCAATCCTCCTTTCTCCTCCTATATTTCCGACCGACCGGACCTATCATCTAATCTAAGCTCCGATTACGACCCTCCGTACTTCGTTCCACTGTGCGGCAACGACCATTCCGGCGAACTTTCGTTCCCGCCAGACTAGCGTTCCCCCAACAGTAGCACAGCCGCTCAAACGATATATGACCTTACAGCATCCCGCGTCTGCTCGGCCCGCTTCTCCCGCAGCGCCTCGATCACGCGCGCGGCCTGCGCTCGGAGTGCGCCGTTCTCCAAGGGCTTGTACGGCGTTGCAAGCTTCCTGGGAAGATCGCGCTCGAACCAGGGATGACGTCGGATCTCGGGAACAGTGATACGCGCGGCAGGGTCTACCACGAAGATGCGCGCGAGCAGGTCCTTGCAATCGGACGAGAGGCTGACATTTGCAGGCAGGAAGTAGCGGCCCGCGAGGATGTTCTGCAGAGGGAAAGCGTCAGCATGACGTCAGCAAGGGCGTATGGAGAGGCGGCGCCGACACAGGCCCTTGTAATTGGACGCGAGGCTGACGGTTTTGGAGCGAAAGCAGCGGCCCGCCAGGATGATCTTAATTGGCAGTGTCAGCGTGACGTCAGTGAGGGCGAATGGAAGGGCGGTGCAGGACAACTACTCAAGGAAATACTAGGAGCGACAAACGACGACATATTGAAACCGGCAGTACCGCAAGCACCAGGACTGAGAGCGCTGCATGCAAGAACTTAGCTCGGATCGACGCCAACCTGTGTAAGTAACAGCCAGTAATCTAGTCTGCACATTAAGCCGCATAACCGGCTAACAGCAAGATCACCCGACAAGACGGCGCTGCCGTTCCTCAACGCCTTATCAGGACACGAATTTGTCAGACGTACTTAGTATCTGACCTACGACAGAACTACAACAGAATTGAAGGTGCTCGACAAACATCGAAACAGAAGCCCAAGGCTGCACGAAGTCAATAATATCCTAAACCCAGGCGGCCACGCTCGTCCTTATCTGCCTGCCAGGAAGTTTTGGGTGCTGTAATGGTAGGAAAAGTAACCTCAGCTCATCTCAAACAGCAATCGTAACAACCGGGGCTCAGACTCAACCCAGCGAGCTCACGAAAGCGAGCGCTAGAGCATACGACCCCACCTCAGCACACCCCCAAAACTCCAGTAGCCGCAGAACCGAACCTTGCAAAACCAAGTCGTCAGAAACGCAACCAGATGGAAGGTTAGTACTAACCCCGTTCATCAAATCTGTGACGACAGGAGCGGTGCTGCCTCACCTCAAAGATCCGGGTGATGTTCTTTGGTTGCTCCGGATCCGCAAAAGGGTACGCGTGGAAGAGGATGGCCGCCAGGATGACCCCTAGTGACCAGACGTCTGCTGCGCGGCGGTCAATGTTTCCTGCGCCCTTTGCGGTGCGTGACTTGAGCTGTTCGGGGGCCGCGTAGATGGATCCGGGACAACCGATGTCGGCGAATGGGGAGTGCTGCACAAAAAAGAGCAAGGATTGGATGTGCTTCAGGAAGGTGGTGAGAGATTGATTGAATCGGGCTGAGGGGGGAGCTGGTGCGTGAGGAAATGGTGGAATGACTTGTGCGAGAGTTGGAAGACAACATCGTTGGAAGTTCCAGCGATAGAAGTTTGCAGGACAGCGAGCAGAGGACAGAAACAGTTGAAAACAATATGAAAGTCGGTCAGCAGAAGAGAAAGTTGCAGGCGGAAGGAGGGAGCCACCAGCTCGTACACAGAACCATCAAAGAGATGTTGAGGTAGATAACATACAAGAACAAACTACTGAGCACCCTTTGCAGACGCATAATGCTCGTAGAAATATGTAATAGGAACCTTGAGAGAGGTTCTGCACAAAACCAGAAAGCTGCAATAGGCGGAGAGATTATGGTTGTAAGTGAAAGGGACGTGTCTAAACCCAACTCTTGACCTGACCACGCATGGTGATGTCGAGATGAGGACAGCTGCGAGAGTCCTTGTTTTTTCAAACAGCGTTGTAGATATCCTTACCTTCGCAATCGCCGGGTCCGCCAGCTTCACTTCCGGGGGGGTCATCCTCGTCAGCAGGATGTTTTCTAACTTGAGATCTCTCCCAGGCGCGCCCTGAAAACACGACAACGACGTCAGCAAGGCGGTGGATACGTCAGCAAGGGGGTGAATGAACGTCAGCAACGCTAAGCCCAAGGCCTGCAGAGTCGTTCCTTTGGCACCGATGAGCGGAACCCTTTGAGAACAAACTCAAAGCTAGTCCCCTATGACAAGAAGTTGGGCAATAATAGCAAAGAGTAGCAGGCAAGGCGAACCAAGGGCAGAAATAGGAAAGACGACGAGAGCAAAAAGAAACTTGGTCGTTGAAATCACCTGAGAGTGGCAGAACTCCACCGCAGCCGCTAGCTGTTGAAACAAGTACCGGCACTGCGCAAAGATGGGATGGGACAAAAGTAACGTGAGCAACCTATCAAACTGATTCCTGATGTACCGGAATCTTCACTTACTCGACCTCAGCAGGATACTTTCGGACACTTCGCTACCAGCACCACACAACAAACAGAGCTGCACGAAGAATCATGTCCTCAGTACAAGACCAGACCCTGCGAACAACTTAAGTCCAGAGGGAACTCGCCTGTGGTTCGGATAACAACCGCTTGTCCACGAAGGTCATCAGCGAGTTCCCCGGTGCGTACTCAAACACTTGGTACAATTGGCCCTCATGTATGTACACCTGCAGGTACGTTAGACAAATCACAAAAGCAACACTTGCAGAAGGCGTACCTTAATTAAGCTGAATTAAGAAGCAGAAATCAGGTTTGAGGGTAACCTGAGGGTCACTTTCTGTTTGTTGAAGAGGCACACAAGTCCTTAAGTCATGACAGGGCAGTGTGAACAAGAGACTCAACAAGAGACTCCTAAAGAAATCTTGTAAGGTTGCAAGCATGCACAACAGTGATAGTGCCACTAAATACCGCTCAAGTCGCAGCTACTGAGCAGGAAAACAGAGGGGCACAATAACCGCCTCAACCTCAAATTAGCAGCAACGCTTGTAGTAGGCAATCCGTTTTCTTTGAATGCTGAACTTACCTCACACAACCGAGTGATGCAGGGATGCTGCAGATTGAGCAACGACGAGATCTCTTGCTCTAAATGAGGCAAGGACGTTCTCTGCAGACCCGAACAGGGAAATGAGTTCAACCTTTTGGGTAGTAGCCTTTGGTTCGAATGTTGCGTGACTTTCCTACTAGCTCAAGCGTCTTGTTCATTTGTACCTCGAACGCTTCCCCCTAGATCGTAAGGCAAGTCACTTAAGTCGCAGTGATCGGCTTCTAGACAATGAAGTGGGATGCAGATAATAAGGGAGCGCTCCAGTCATGGCCACACAGAGTAACATACAAATCTTCAGACTTTTTGTATCCACCTTCAGAAGAAAGGGCATGCAGATAAGGTGGGGGCATGCTTGATAGGCCCTCAAGGTCAGTCGCAGAATTGCACTTTCTGTTTCGAAAGTGTGACCCGGTCCTCCACATGGAAAAACCTGAAAATTGATCCCTCAATTGAAGCAGCAAATAGACAGGCCAAAGGGCCACTCCAGGGTTTTCTATGGCCACGAGAAAAAAGGGGTACACGAACGTGCATGACATCACACCAGTAAGTGGTCGTCGATACTTCATGCCGTCATCATGATTCTTCTTACAAGTCATAGATGAAAAACCTCAAGCGGCTGCGTAAGGGGGCTCCATAGAAAATCGCCAGAGCTTTCGCTCTACTTTGAGCTCTCTCTAAGAAAGCTCAAACCCACGATGCAGTAAGAAATACTCGTCATCTTGCATCAGTTATGAATTCCAATTTGAAAGCTGTGAGCAGCTTTGCTAGCCGTTGCAGAAAGCTTGCCAAAGCCACCACTCAAACTTGTCATAAGGGTTTTGAGACGACTGAAAACATATGGCTCACCTTATTCAGTTCTGACCGCTTGATTGCCAGCTGCTTGCCTGTTTGCGGGATGCGCAAGACCCGAACTGACACATCATCTGCTGAAAAGATTTCAGTTCCCTGATTTTCAAACTTCTCCCCTGCTTGTGCGTCCGATTTGAAATCTCTCACAGTAGCGGTCAGGTAAGGAGGAGAAAGAACCGTAGCCATTGTATGCCTATGTCAACTTCAAACGAAGTGAAGCTTTACTGACTCCCTTCCGTTCTCAATTGTGCGTCCAGATAAAGAATTCGTTCCCGGTTGAGCTTCATAGATTGCGAAAAGGCCACAGAGCAAGTGCGTCGGTCTAAGTAGCTCCAAATGTGACAGAAACTGGTAGTAGTGTGTCCTCGCTTACACTGCTGACAGTTCACTTTAATTCTTCGTGAAAGAAGGAAGAAAAATTCTTCAAGGAGAAGGAAAAGTTGCATCCAAACGAAGCTGAGCAGAAGGTACTAAGAATATGGAAAGAGAATCTGCAGAGACTGTTTCACAGGCTAGACCGGCAGCCTGGAAAGAATCTGCTTAGGAGAGGCTCTTCCAGCACAAGTGTCGTACTGGTAGCGCGACAGTTTCAACCCTTTGTTCCTTCTGCTACACTTCTAGACCAGATTAGATATCTTCAAGCTCCTGCAAAGAGAATGGAGGAAGCGCGCGAAGCTCACTTTTCAGATTCCTGTTGAATCAGGTTTGTCTCGTGTGACTGCGTTCCTGGTCTGCAAAGTGGTCGCGTGACCCGAGTTGCGATTCCTGCAAAAGTACCACATCGAGGCCGTCCCATCGACACGTGGAAAGTCGACGGCGAAAGATGGTGCCAGGGAGGCAGAAGACTGCACTTTTTGGCAGAACGTAAACTGTACGTACCCACCTTGTAATACAGGTAGGTCAAAATAACCGTGCCCGTGATCGCTACCGTCCAACTTCCAAAAGCACCCGCACAAATGCCGCCGATGTTGAATCAACGATCAGATATCCATCTTACTTCTGCAACTGACAAGCGAAGTATAAACTTTCGAAGTTTGATAAATTGAGGTGAAAAGCTGGTATTAAAATTCTGACCCGCCACTAGTTCCAAAGTTGGCGCATGATGCAATATCGTCACTCGTGACTCGTGCGTGTGCGTGAGCGCTACGTACAGGGAAGGTGCATCATGGCCCCGGTGGGCCATGGCAGTGATGCTCAGCTGCAGATCCGCCAATGAAGGCCCACGACAGTTCGAAGTCCCCTAGACGATCATGGCTTCCGCGCATCTTTCGCCGCAGCTTCTCTAGGTCCTTCCCTGTCTCCCCTGGGAGGAGCAGGATGCCCGCCGCCGGTGCTCGATGGAGGAACTTTTTCCGGGGGGTGTGGCTCGTGACCACCGCGCTTGTAATCATAGCTGTGCCATGGATGTCCCTGGCAATGAAGAAGCAGGACTATACGATCCATGCCATTGCCTGGTTCACAGCTGGTGAGAGAAGGCAATGAGGCGAATTATGCTCACGGACAATTGTTGCTGCTTCAGGTTGTTACGTCGGCTTTGTTGATTAGCTGTTTGTTAACTAGGTCAACAATCGGGCTGCTACAAACCAGCTGTTTGTGGGACGAAAATATCTTGACTGGTCAGAGGAGTCCAACTTCAGAAACGGTTCGTCAATTGTGGCGCAACCTCTCCAGCAGGAGAGGTCTCGCCTCATTAGGGTTTCCTAAGGTCTAGGCCAGCTGCCAGCTCCCAAAATGCCTTGTCAAGCTGGCCCGTCCTCCACAGGAAAGATCAGATAGCCAGGCAGCAGCTGAATGTTGAAAGCTGATTTTCAGAAGGACTCGTTAAGTTCAGGTCTAAAAATTTCTTTGGGCTTAAACCCCTCAAACCAGCTCCTGGTTGCTAGTGTCATCCCCGCCGGTACCTTACCTTCACTGGAAAGCAGGCTCCACCCGGTAGAGCGCTGCGCTCCAATTTGTGGCCAGGCTCGTGTCGAAAGTGCCAGCATTTGTTCAAATGAGGCCTCCGGCATGCTTCTCATGAGTGCACTAATCTTCTCTGGTTCAAACCTCCGGGCATGAGACACTTTCTGCTGATTGCAGGAGTGTTTGTTCTGCTGGCTCTGCCCATCTCCGCTTACGAGATTGCTCAACACCTCGACAGCTACACCAAACCCCTCGAGCAGAAGAAGATCATCCGGATACTAATGATGGTCCCCATTTACGCAGGTCAGCAATGCCCCACCCCACTATAATTCTGTAGCCGTTGCTTGAGCGGTGAAGGGAGCGGCTATGTTGCAGCAGTATGACTCCCCTCCCTTTCCTTAGACAGGCTTCAGCTTTCGCTGGGGGCAGGGTAATTCTGGCGCTTATGTTGGGAAGCAATGTTGGCGGATAGTTCCTGGTATTCAGTTTCCCTTTATCGGAGTTTTAGCTGGGCCTGTGTATGGGAAAAATTGGTTTCTTGTGTCCAATTTGCGTTTTCCCGTGCAGTTGATAGTTGGCTCGCCCTTCGGTTCAAGAACGTGGCAATCTACATCAACACTTTAAGAGAGTGAGTGGTTGCCCTTCGTTTATTCTCACAAGGGCCAGCTCGTTCAAGCCTTTACTTGATTTTACTTTCGCGTGAACAAGCCCCTCAGCAATAATCCGAGAGTCTGGCGATGCAGATTGCTGTTGTGGTTCTGAGAATCTCGATGAATCCAGAAAATTGCGCTTGCAGTCTGTTGCGGAATAAAACTTTTCTGCGAAGAAAGGTCAAGGTGCTTCCCATAGTTGCCGTGATGAGTTCGAGTCTGGGCGCACGCAAAATCAGCTTACAGACTGATACTCGGCACAAGCAACTCCAGACCCCTTTGTTGACCCCCCCCTTGTTCTGTGCAGATGTTATGAGGCGTATGTAATCTACAGTTTCTTTGAGTACTTATTAGCATATGTCGGGGGGGAGACGCGGCTTGGGGAGGAGATTGAGTTGAAGCCGCAGGTCGAACATGTGAGTGAGGGGCACAAAGTTTCATCTGCGGACACTATTTTGAAAGCTTCTTATTCTCCCATACGAATCAGGAGCACTGAGCCTCTTGAAGAATTCAGGGCGCTGTCGAGCAATGATTGAAGCATCACATGAATCCATTGCAAAAGTGGATTAGGATTGCGTGGCTCAATGCTTCTTTGCAAGCCCTCCAGCAACCGCGGCTTATGGCCCATAGGCCTCGAACGGATGACCCAAATCGTAAAGAGTCCAAAGACAGTTGGATGTCTCGATCTACATGGACTCTGCAGCAGCATGATTGGAAGAAAGAAGCAGCGTTTGCGTGGGGTCTGCGTGCAAAAGTTACACGTTTGGCGCCGCTCACACCGCTTTGGTTCATTTCTGTCCCAGGTGTTTCCGTTTTCGTTGGCGCTGAAACCGTGGCGGATGGGGCAGACGTTCGTAAAGAACTGCAAAGTGGGGGTCCACAATTATGTGAGCCATTCCCCTTATCTCACGAACGAAACGTCGTCCGCGCCTTGCTATCATCTTGACGAGGAATTCTGCAGTTCTTTTTGTGGAAAAAATGTTTTTTTGGCGCCCGAAACTCCTGTCCAAGTCGAGTTCATGGCGGAATGCAAAGAGTGGGTTCAACGCGTGTGAGCGTCTGCCGTGAAAAAGAAGTATGGTTTGGGGTCCGTGCCTTTGTAACCCGTGCGCCCTGTTCTACAATGACAAGATGGAGGGCCTAGAATGCTGGTCGAGGCTTTTTGAATGCAAATCTCGTTTGCTGCCGCTGTCCTCTCGGGTTTCGTTGAAATCCCGCTCGCTTGCCAATCAGATGTGCCATAGAGGGACGCAAAGACGAAGAGGACTTAGCCCTGACAGCCCGGCCTCAGTTTCCTTCAAGGTCGAGTTTGCAGTCGGGACTGGCAGATGCGATGCTTTTCGGATTCATGAACCGCAGGCTTGACGGAGCCGAAAGATGCCGCTGATTGAAGTCAGTGAGTCGAAAGAGGGGCGGGTCTTTGAACGGTCTGCCACAGTATCTTGCTCGGTTTGTGACGCGCCATCCTTCAACCCGACCAAAATCTGACCCTGCACTGAGCCCGCGACTGACCCCCAACCTGACACAAGCGGGAAAGCAGCTTTTGACAGCGACAGGGAGGTTGCCATTCTAGTTCCGATGCAACCGGGGTGTCAGGCCGACTCTATTTTGCTCATGAAGATGCCACGTGTCATTCTCTGCAGGTGGTTGTACAGCCAATACTGACCATGACCGCACTGTGAGTCTCCACTCTCCGAACCCTTTGTTCCGGTTTCTCCTGGTCCTGCCTATTTCCTGGGGAGTTGCATATTTAAGCAAACGCGTCGGCTGCAAATCTATAATGATGGAAGTGTCGAACAGTAAGGCAGGTTTTGACAAACCTCGGCACTTGACAAACTCCGAACTTGACTCAATATAGCTTTGGCCGTTGTTTGCATCGTTAAGAAGTTTGGGCTCACGTGTCGAATGGCCTAGATGGACGTTGGGTAAGGTGACCAATATGACCACTTACGTGTCGTATGCGAATTCGTTGCTCCAAGAATGCCGTTGCTAAGTTCCATTCACGCTGGGCTTTGCCGATCTAAATGCTTGCATGTTGCCAAACTAACCCCACTTGCCGGAAGCCCGCAATTTGACCCGGATGATTAATGGGGTCCGAATATTCTCGAGATATTTCCTCATGGTCCAGCCCTGATCCCTTGGCTCGCTTTATGCTCCAGCTTCTGCGAGTGGGGGGGCTACTATGGGGAAGGCTCCTTCAACCCGCAGAAGGCCTACGTGTATTTAACCTTTGTCTACAACGTTTCTCAAATCGTAAGCGCCCCTCAAGTTCAGATAATAGTCCTCGCTTTGTGGTCTGCCATTGCTTGTTGCTTCTATGTGAGTGAACTTCGAGCCCGCTATTGTGTTGCCCAACCAGCAAGTGTGACGGTACGTCCCTCAAGAGCACCAATCGTGAACCCCAATCTCAGCATAAATGAAAGTATTACCGCTGTTCTGGGTACAAGGCGGCTAAAGAGGAGCCTATTTGTGGATTCTGTCAATAAGTAATGTGTCCATGACTCTGCATATGCTGTGTTCGCGAGTGAAAAACCTGGTTGTATCTCGTCGAAGTGAAGGTGTAGGTACCTGTTGCCAGTCTTAGCGTTTTACGAACCCGACCTGTTTTGTAGGCTCTAACTTTTAGGCGCCTCTTCCGTAAAACCCGCGCAAAATCGTGAAAGACAAAGACAAGTGGAAGACAAGTGGCTAAAAACTGCAGAAATCAGCGACTGCCATTGGGCCTTCTGCAGTGGGCCCTTTATTGCCTGGTCATGTTCTACCGGGCAGCACACGAAGAGCTGCAGCCTATGAAGCCCTTCGCCAAGTTCGCCTGCGTCAAAGCCGTCGTCTTCTTCAGCTTCTGGTGAGCACTTCTCACCTCGACGCACGGCTAAGCCCGTTCGAGACCGCCCAAAAGGGCAAATCATCCGGAGAAACGCAGCCTTTTTGTTCTCAGCGGTCCGTATTGTCAATGTCAGAGCCGTTGTAGTTCCATTATGTCTGCTCCGTTGGACCGCGTTTCGTATATGCTTCTGACAGTAATCGATGACGGGCATTAGCAACGTATTGATAAGCGAAGACGTTGTCAAACGTATGTGGACTGCGGCCGTCCAGGAAGAGATCATTGTCTTCTGCTCGGGCGAAGAGTTGCTGAGTCTTGGTTTCATTCCTCTATACTCGAAAAGTGCCGGGCGCTTGATGCGGCTTTGGGAAGGGCTCGAAGCACGTCTCGCTTTTCCTTGCTTCGTTTCCTTTCTGGATACAGAGCTTTTTTCAACTGAACTCGTCTTCTCGTCGTTCGTTGTGCAGGCAAAGTGTTGCTATAGCAATCCTGGTCAAGTTCAACGTCATCCGGTCACAAGAAACCCTCTCCAATTACGATGTGAGCCGATCGCCCTCTTCTTTTTCCGCACTGCTCACACCCAGAGAATAATCACTATGCTTTTCGCTAAGATTCGGTCCTGAAAGACCAGTGCCAGCACAGCCGTAGTCCCCTCGTGCTTCAGTTTCAGAAAAAGCTGCTGCGCACCTCTGTCGAAGACAATGTACGGTCGAAGCTTCAGTTGAGAATCGAGGTCCAAGCTTTGTCTGAGAAGAGTTGCAGACTTCTATCGAAAACATTGTACGGTTGAAGCTTCAATTGAGATTGAAGGTCGAAGCTTTGTCTGAACAGAGTAGCAAAGTGGACCAATGAGACAGGTTTCGAGTCCCTTCGTATGTCCAGGCACGACACTGGGCAGAAGTGGAGTGTGGTTTTTGAGTATCGCGCAAATCATATGGAATCATTCTTTGAGGAGCGCTACCGTTCAGAGCGGTACAGCTCAGTTGAATACATGAATTGGGCTACCATTTTGCCAGCACACGTGTTGTGGAGCGACCTACTTTTTGGAAGGACGTTTTGCCAACAAGAAAGACCGTTTTGCTTTCATCTCGTCGAATTTGACATCTTTATTTGTGAACCGTCTTGCACAAAAGTTATGCCGTGCTGCTATAACGGCGTCTTTTCATCTTCAACTGCTGCGCTTTGTAACCTGTTTCTTCCTGATCGTTGCGCTTTGTAACCCGATCAGTGACATCCGAATGTCCGTAAGACGGTCGGTTCCATTTCTTTTCAAATTGACGCCGGATCTGGTGGCAGTGTCCACGGTTAACTTGGCGGCTTTGCTGACCATCTTGATAGGTTGGTAGCTTTGACTGGTTGACCCCTTAAAACCCACGTTCAATGTTGCTCTGCAGGTTGACGACGTTGCAACGGGGATCCAGGACTTTCTGATCTGCATCGAAATGTTTTTCGCGGCCATCGCGCACGGCGTCGCATTTTCGGCGTCAGAGGTAAGACCCAGAACCCGCTCGCTGGTTTTCTGGCGGAATTTATTCCATCCGGCCTGTTCTCTCTGTTCTTGGCGCTCGAACCTGTCGAGTATCATGGCAAGAGAAGAGGGCTCTGATACAGACTGTACGCAGAAGCCGAGCGGGGGCAGAGGCCGGAAGTAAGCCTTGTTCCTCATGGCTTAACGGACTAAACAAACGGATTGGTAGAGCACGAAACTGCTCGACTCTTTGTCTTGGTTTGTGATGCGAGCGTACCAGTCAGGTGCAAGCTCCGGCGTTTGTGCCAGCTCCAATGTTTCCTTTCGTCCGTGGCAACTTTGTTGGATAGTATCGATTGCTGCAAACGGGCCTTGATAAGTGTCCGATTGGTAGTGGTTAGTTGCTCCTGTGTCTGATCGGATTTTCGTTTGGTCCTCTCGAGAATGAAAATTCGATGACCATCTTGTCGCCTCTTGCTTTCGCTGCAGTACGCGGATCCGACGATGCCGAAAAAGCCGTTTTTTCACAGCCTTTTAGACATGTGCGATATAACGGACATAACTAGTGACACTTGGGGTCGAGTTGCGTCTGCGAAAGACCATGTCATAGACGGGGTAGTGTCAATTGTTCCAAGGAAAGCGCCGGGAAGCCCGCGGAAGATACGGATTGAGATGCCGGACTTCTTGGATGACAACGTAGAACACTCGCTTCTATTAACAACTGACGAAATACGAACAGACAGGCAATGAAATATAAGCCGACTTTATAGATATCGAAAATTCTTACAAAGCTAGGGGTGAATACTCGTGAGCCGCAATTGTTTGTCGCGCTTGCAAGCCCTGACTATAATTGTCTTGGCACTTCTGCACGACGCACATGGGAGAGTTGATCTCAAGTGTAGACCTATCCGCTCCCATTCCACTAGAACGACCTGGTGGGCAGATTGTGGATTGTGCATTTGGGGTTTCTTTCACCGTGAGGCGGGCCCGGGGTCAATCGTGTATGCATCAGCTAGATGAAGCATGCCACATGAAATTTGATACCAGATGGGATTTTTGCAAGCAGTGCGACGGTAGCGATCGAACCGACTTTTTTAATACGGATTGAATAATTGGCAAGCTAGGCACTACGCGCGCTGTAATGTTTTACTTCGCTGTCTGACTTGGTACAAATCCTCGTTCGTTACTTCAGCTCGGTGATACCGCATGAGTCGAGATAATGAAGCAACGTCAGCATGTCACATGAACATATGCCATGATGTGATTGCAATTGTTTGTCCCGCTCTGTGATAATACTTCGTCATTCAAACATATTCGAGAGATCCGGAGTCATAGTAACCGTTTGATGGTACCTCGCCTTATCCAAGTTAGCTGAGAACTGTTACAATCCGAGCTAATTGGAAAAATTGTGTGTCATAATATGTTTCTCCTGCATGCAGTTTATCCAACGCATGATGTATAAGAGACCTCCATTATCAAATGATAACATTCTGTGTCATGCTCATCCAAGCTGTCTTTCCCACCAATGAGGATGAGAGAAATTAATCGGTCGAATAAGGATGAGAAAAATAAAAACAATTGCGAATGGGATCCGACAAATCAAGCTCTCTATCGATCAACATAGACATGCTGCCGGGTCGAGTAAACCACTTTAGAGTTGGATGAAGAAAGCCTTTACAATCTTTGATGTGTAACATCCGCTGTAAGGAGATTTCATTGCACACAAATCATCAAGTGCACGACGTACTTTACACACTTCAAGTCAAGTTTTACCTACGTCTAGACATCAGGCATTTCGCTGGTAAAAATGCCAAGTAAGGTGGCCCGAAACTACTAAAGCTACTATACTTCGTTTCAATATACCCCAAATCTGTACATCGCCTCAATTACTGGTCAATTCCTTGCAGCTCTCCTTTCCTTTCTTCTGCTAGCTGCGCTCTCCGTTCCGCTGTTCCGGCCTCTCTTGTCTCTTGCATGTTGGGCTTCTGGATGTTGCCCTCATAAGCGTCTAGCTCGGGGAAGGCCTCCCTGCAAAAAAAGAGAGGCAATCGATGAATACCTTCGGGGTGCACTTCGACTCTTTCGGATACTGAAGGCAACAAATACACTCAGCTTCCCTTGATAGAAGACGTTTGAACGCATGAGTTTCATTGTTTGAACTAGAAAGAATCTTTCAGAACCAGGATGCTTGACCGACCACTGTACCCAACATGAGATCGTGTGATCCTTTTTTCTAGCTTCAGACTGCATTACAAGCAGTTGGTGATGTGAAGAGAATGCGAAGTCCGATGGAATGGCCAAAGTAGATCAGAACCATCTTTGGGCCAATGCAAAACCCCCCCTGCTCCAACTTCCATTAAGCCCCCAGCACTAGATCACTATGCTCGAAAGACCGGAATATACACCAGTGTCCCAAACCCTTAGAGAACATCTTCTCTCCTACTCCTTAAAGCAAACAACTTCGAGTCGTCCTAGATTTCAATGACCCACCTGGTTTCCTCGTGGCCCTTCCTGGCTGCCTCCTGATCCTGAGGGGGAACCCCGGTCGTGGTGCTCAGCTCCGCCCTCGTAGGGGTGGGGGCTCCGCGCGGGTGGTCAGCCATGCTTGCTGATCTGCTTTTAGTTTTGTTACTAGTTGCAAGGCGGGCAGCTGACAAGTACGAAGTGGTTGTTCGTCTCTTGATTTCTTAGCAAGAACTTTTCTTACACTTCGACTTTCTGATCAAAGATTCTAGAATAGCTACCCAAGACGTAATCCAAGTTGCAGGGAGTTCTCTGCAAGGTTCATGCGTTCTGCAAGCCAGGCTTTCAAGTCGGAGTCACTGATACCAAACTGGACGAAGAGCCTGGCTCCAGCGTGCACTGTCAGTGGCAAACCGTTCAGCAGTAGGAATCCATTTCCGACCTTGCATGCACATTACGGTTGTCGCTGGCCGACCTTCCGGTCGGAGCACGACGCAAAGGTCGCCGGAAAGGTCACTTGATCAGGCCGGGGGGGATTCGCATCGGCGTTTTCAGGGCCAAAAGAACGGACGGTGAAAGCTACCGGGCGATTACATTTCCAATATTCGACGCAGTGCAGAATGACTGCGCGCCAGTTTTGCATGCGCCAAAACATTATCCACCGTGTGACGCATGCACAGCGTGCATGCAGCGCGAGGGCATTCGTAGACAACGCGCATGCAATCCTGCTGTCGCCCCAGCGCCGTGGCTCCAGAGGGAAAACGACTGCTGCTGGCGGAAAGCTCACTGGAAAGCAAGTGTGAAACAGGTCGATTGTCGATCTCCAGGTTGAACGGACTTCGACTCCGTGAAGGTCTCTGATTTGCAGGAAGCTTGTTGACACACCACAAAGCTACCTACTGTACATGTAGGAATCTTGCGAAAAGTCTTTCTGCCCTTTTTGATCAGAAGCTGCATTTGCGACTTAAATCATCAAAAGGACTTCTGCTCTCTCAACGCATTGCTCTCGAACCCGACCGACAAGTTTTTACGTTTCCTTGCTTCCTTTCACTCTACGTTTTCTTGTTCAAGCCAGCCACGATGTCTCAGGAGTACTCAGAGACCGCTCAGGGCACGTCCGTGGACATGCCCAAGGGTGACGTCATCCCAGAGCCCAGGCAGGAGGCCATCAAGACGGGGCCGCAACTCGGGACGGACCCCCAAAACGCGCAGGAGGCGTATGATAAGCAGCAGGAGGGGCGCATGTACGTCAATGCCATGTGTTGATTACGTCTCCTATGAGGAGAGTTCAGAACAAGATGACGAAGTCAGTGGTTGGATTGGTGTTGCTTTGAGTTTTGGTGCGGGGAAAGGAGATGCTTTGGGTGTGATGGAAAAAGAATGGTGCACATGGGCCGCTTTGCAGGATTGACTGAAAAGGACGTTTTTCTGGTCTTACAGGTTGTTCCGGAAATGTGTGGTCTTTTGATGAGTTTCTTATTCTGTCACGTTGGACTCTCTTTTTTGACAAGGTCGTTGTCAGTTCAAAGTCCAGAATATTCGCGTTGTTTAGAACATTGCCTTTTGCCAGCTTGTTGTAGCCTTTGTTGGATGTGACACGTCAGGGTTTCATCCACTGCCTACTTTGTTGCTTTGTTAGGCGATGGTAGGTAAACTTGCAATTGGTTGTATTGGGACAATTGATTCTGGTGTGCACGACTGAGGAAAGGCGCTCTTCCACGGCAAAAGCCGCTTCTTCTTGAAGACAGAGTATAATCTGACGCGAAAAGCATTGGCTTCGTGGCAGGTAACGAGAATAAGTCAGCTCGACCAAGTTGCGTCATAACGATAGAGAAGACACTGCTGGTAAACTGAAAGCTTTCCTTTTATGTTCAGTGTCAAGGCTGACCAGACTTATGTGAAAGCAGTGTTGGTAAACTAAAACCTTCGCTTCGTTGTTTTGCAGTAAGGGTGGCCAGACCCGTGCCAAGCAGCTTGGCCACGAGGGCTATGTGGAGATGGGGCGGAAAGGCGGCAAGACACGAGGGAACCCGGCAGAAGGCGCCGAGTTCGCAGGAAAGCCAGAGTACGATTATTTGAAAGCACCCGGTGATAAGAACTAGACAGAGTGTTAGAAAAGGATCGAGCCTGGCCGTCGATGAGAATTGTACATAGCTGTGGTTAATGTTGGTGACGTTTTTCAAGACTTTGGGTGACAAGAGGACTTTGTCAAAGGTATTGCCTCCTCCTTGAGGGGATTTTTCAGTATTGCTCGTTGGTATGAATTCTGGTGTGCGAATCAATTACCAGAGTCGTATGTTTATATTTTATCCAATTTGGTATGAATGGTGTTCTTACCAGGGGAATATTGTCGTGCATTTTATTGGGCGTATATCACGTTGCGTCATATGTCATGCGAAGTTGTGAACGTACGACCATATCTTGCATGCCATGCAGACGACTTTCGGGATTTTTTACTTTGAATCAGATGGAAAAAGTTACGTGCGCTACTCGTTCCTACCTACGTGTCTTACACTAGTTTCAACAGTCAGGCGAATGGAGAACAAGGTTCTAGTGAACTGCTGATCCATTAAATTGCATGGACTTAAGCAATTAGCGATAAAGACCCAAAAGATCAGGAATTATATATAAGGTCTACCGAAGGAGAAGAATATTGGCTCGACACTGATGCACAGATGCACAACAATGGATTACATAATTAATGTCAGCCTCAACACTCGATTACCATAGATCGGATTCGAAGCTGGCCTATACTAACGGACATTAGCTGGCCGGTCATTGGACGGTCGATCGCATGTAATGCTCGTTTGCATGCATGAAACTCATCCGCGTGTGGTGCGGAACATTATAAGCCGTGCCACTTGAGTGCTCCTCGTCCAAATTCAAACTGAATGTGATACGGTCCGACAATCAAGCAATCACATCAAATTGTGTTACGTGATTCACAGACTTGTGCCATTCAACTCGACACATGCTCTAGCTCAGCGCATGTGAGATGGCCAACAAACCCCGACCGTCCGTCAACGGATTTAATTGGATACGTGATTGGTTTATGAAACCAATCGAATCGTGTGCCTCAACTTGCAAGCTACCAACCAGGTTTCAACCATGCATGAGCATGTCGACCGCACTCCCTCCGCCATCTCCTACTGTATGCCAAGCTGCGGTGGTAAGGTTGATGGTCAGAAAGACAACCTTCACTTGCAATTTATCTGCCCGTATAAGCATAGCACCGTCGCAAAATCGGTGTTACCTTCAGACGTCTGGTTGCCGCACTTGACACCTGCGATCACTGCATACCTATTTACCTGCATATGCTATCTTGTCTGATCGCCACTACACCTTTAAGCAATCACAATTCTTCTTTTCGCGTCTATCGCATGGCCTGCCTCAAACCGCGCAGACGCGAAGGACTCATCCACGAAGTCAATCTCCCATGCGTCCCCGTTCCCCGTTCTGGAACGTCACACTTTCTGTCACTCCCTCCTTCAACTTCTGCTTACACCCATTCCGTATTGCTACCCACAGCCCATTTCAATCCGCAATCGCTTCCCTCGACCATACCCGCAGTGACCTCTCTTCTCTTACTCCAGATCCGCCGCAGACTCCATCCTTCCCACTCCGGGAAACGTAGTGAACCTACCGTCCAAAATCCCCCCCCATGCTTTTCATCTTCATCCTGCCCCCCCGGAAAATCGCCCTCGTTTCCCCCCCCTCAAAACCGCCGTCATCGCTCCCCCTTACTCGTCACCAGCCGCACCTGATCAAACCCGTAGATCTTCCTCAGTTCCTTCATCGCCGCCTCTTCTGTTTGGATTGCCCGGATGTTACTTGGCCGTTCGTCCGGGTCCGGTTTGTACCACCGCATGGTACCGCTCGGGGAGGTACCGGGGCTCGCCCGCTCGGGGGCGGGGGACGTCCCCGGGCTGCCTACAGTGAAGCCTTCTCGATGCCGCCGCTGCTTTTCCTGTGAGCACGAGTGGATTTTGTTCCTGAGCTTCTGTCAATTCGCTTCGAAGGGGCTTTATCTTAGTCAATCTTGGCTCTAAGGGCCGCCGATTGGTGTACGAAAACATAACACGCGTAAAACGGGGAAGAGCAGACCGCCTTTCACCACAATCAACGACGGAATCGACACAACGGGACAGCACGCCACGAAGCTTTGTCCCTGCTTCTTGCCTCTCGTTCGAGTGTTCAAATTCAAAGTGCCTACACCGTCAGAAAAGTCGGCCGCTGAGCAAAAGAACCGTCCTAATATATCAAAATCATCCCGCAAACACACCTGGTAATTCTTGTGAACGCAAGCAATGTACTTTCAGTGCCCAGTAATGTACAGCCGGAAAAAGGCGTCAAAAAACGAGTGTAGCTTGGAAAGGGGTTTGGAACCGATCGACTCATATCAAAAAATGTAAGCTTTGCATCAGGTTCAGGCAATGAGAGCAACAATAGCCAAAAGCCCCCCCCAAGACGACAAACAGATCCGAGAAAGGTGACAGCCTTCTCAAGAAAAGCTCTTCAAAAATGGAAGCTTTGAAACAGAAGCACACAATTCTGGCGAAAGAAACTTCAGAGCCAAAGAAACTCCAAAGCCGAAACCGCCCCGGAATCTACCAACGCAAAAGCCTTCGTAAAGTCAAAGGGTTCAAAATCAAAGGCAACCTCCAAAAGTAACCATTGGCGCAAACAACGTTCTGCAAACGACAGCAGTCCCCGCTCACCTGCTGCTCTTGGATGTCCCGCAGTGACGACGCCGAGATCGCCGCCGACGGCGCCGCTTGTGCGGCCCATCCCTTCTGCCCCACCTCTTCCTGCGCCGCCTTCTTCTTTGACAGTTTCTCCGGCCGCACAAAGTGCGCCAAAGAGATTCTCTGCGGCCCCCCTTCCTCCGCGTCAAAGGTCTCAGACGCTATTCCCGCCCCTGCTGGGACAGAGCGCGACTGGGCCGGCTTCGTTGGTGTGAATACGCCCTTAGGCGGCGCCGGGATCGGGCTGGTCCGGGGGGGCACGTTTGCGCCGTCGGACGCCCGCCTGTTTCGTCCGGGGGGGGTGGTGAAAGCGGACCAGCTGCCCCCTTTTTCCTGGGGACTGGACCCCCACTTGGAAAAGTCTCCGCTCGTGGAGGGGCTGCAGGACTCCGCCCGTGGTGGGCCCTGCCACGTGGCACCCTGAGGGGCCGCCATGTGGCCACTGCTGGAGGGGGGTGTGTTCGCACTGGAGGCTCTACCGGACAGCTTCGGTTTCTCCCCCCTGCCGCTTGCAGAGGGGGCATTCACACCGAGCGGTCCAGACCAGGAAATGGCTGTCGGTGTGAATCCTTGCTGATTCTGGATCTCTCGAAGCGACGTGCTGCGGGGGGGTCCTGGAGACACACGCACGCCCCCCCAGGCAGGGCCGTCCTGTTTCGGGGGGGGTCGGAAGGGGGGGGGGGAGTAGGAGCGGCGGCCACAGCCTCCAACGCCCCACTCAGAAACATCGAGAGACCCCCCCGCTTGGCGCTCTTTTTAGGCTTGGGCGTTTTGGGGTTCGCTGGAAACGCAGGGTTTGGGGGAGTGGCGGGACTCCAGCTGTTCGGAGTGGGGGGGAGGTTGAGGCTGGTCTTCGGCCCCCCCGGGCTGGGGTCCAGCGTGCTGCGAGGGGTTTCTAACGGACTGGGGGGGAGAAGATTAGGTGCAGAGGAGGTATGTGCGGGGACCCCTGGAAGAACAAACCCTTCGGACACTTTGACGGGGCTCTTCGGCAGATCCAAGCTCTCCAGAACGCTCGTTGTTTCCGACTCCATTCTGGGAGGGGGTGACGCCGCCTCAAGCGCGCCGAGACTCGTTTCGCTCGCGCTCTTCTTCAGCAGGGGGTTTTCTTCACCCACGGCCCTACCCCCCCGCACACTCTTCCCCGCTTTACCCCCCCTCTTCGCCTTACTCTTCCCCTTCTTTCCCCTCTCCATTTCTTCGTTCTCATCCCCCCTCTCCGGCGAGAATCCGACGACCTTCCACTCCTCAGCTGACAGCTTCGCCTCTTTCGGAGGCGGTGGTTCTCTCCCTTCTTCCAACGCTTCAACCGCCGCCACAATGTCCTCTTTACTGCGCAGCTTCGCTCGCTGTTGAGAATCGAGCGCAATCCCTTCCCCTCGCCGCGCCTCCAACGCCTCGATCTGCTGCAGTTTCTTCCTCAGCGCGCGAATTCTTTTCACCGCCCCTAGTTCGTCCTTCTGCTGCAGGAACCGCCCCAGCCCAAGACCCACCGCACGACCCAAATCCATCACCACCTTCTCCTCCTTTTCCCCCGACCCGTTTCTACTTTCACGCGCCTTCTCGCTCCCCCCCTCCTCCTCCTCTAGAATCGGTTCATTCCCCGACGCTGTCGCGCAGGGCAGCGGTCTCGGCACCCAACCGCCCTGCGCCACGTGGCAGCCCATCAGGCCCTCCAGCTCCGCCAAAACGGACGGCCTGATCTGCGCGAGCATCCCCGGGGGGGTCACCATCAGAACGTAATCCAAGTTGCGCAGAACCATCGCCTGGCAAAACGCCTTTAGTTCATCGGCTTCTAACGCGTCCGCTAGCTCTGTCATCTGTAGCACGTTCTTCGCCTCAACGATCGCCCTCGCGATCTCGCGCTCGCACAGCTCCTTCAAACTCCCGCGCGCCTCCGCTGCCTCGCCGCCCGCGACATTCGCCGGCCGCTCTACTTCCTCGTCGCTGTCGTCGCCGTCCCGCTGCATACCCGCCCCCTCTAGTTGCGCAACCGTCTGCTGCGGCGCCGTTCGAATCGGAAAGGGGGGGATCCAGAGAGTGGCCACCGCCACTGAGTGGCTCTCCCCCACTGCAATCTGGGTCGTCTGCTTGAGATTTGGGATGCGCAGCGGCTCTGGCTTTTGGTCGCGGGCGCCGTCCCATGCGAAAACGGTACCCAAGGAAGTGACGACGGCCGTGCGGTGCTTGCCGGCCGAGATGGAAACGGCGTGGTGTGCCGCCAGCGCCTTGAGCTGCGGATAGGAAAAATAGCAAACAAATTGTCAGGCCAATCTTTGTAGGACATACTCAGTGCTGACGTCAGTAGTCTAATAGATGTAAGACACCCGAATCGAATTCAGTCCCAGTTCAACGCCTTTGCAGATTTTCTTTGACCACGTGTGGAATTTCGGCGGTAGGAACCCAGCTCGCCGTTAGCAACTTGAGCAGAACAGCAAGTGGACGGACTCACTACGACGCCAGAATTCTTACCAATGTTTTACTTCGATTTCGTAAAAGACTTCAATCTCGTGAAAGCTCCACACATTCCCAACTGTTCGGAGATCCAGACGTGCTACCCACTCTTCTCAAAATAAAACGACCGAAACCCAATCCGCTTCAGAGAAGACATTGCAATGTTGCGCGTGCCCACAAAAAGGAAGACTACACGGTGAACCGTCAGCCTTTTGAGCTGCGACGAATGGGTAGAATGAACGGGACGAACAATGATTCCACAAGGGATCCAAGCGAAGCACGCTCAATTCCGACTTGGTGCACACCGAAGTTTTCTACTCGTCCAAGACCCAGCAGACTACAACCTTTCTACGATCCCTAGATGTGTAAAGCACCAAACTCGTCAGCCCTCTAGGGCACGAATTCATATGACACCCAAATGCCTAAAAATGACAGCGACTCGAAACCCTGATAAAAAAGAAACTGCACCCCACCTGCTGGCACCGAAGCTGCACATCGACGACTCCCAGTAGAATCACAGCCCCTCCTGCGAGATGACCGTGCAATGCAACCCCCCCCCTCACGATCGTTGTGAACCCTTCGCAACCAAAGCTTACTCCTTCAAGAAATTTACGCGCCCAGAAACCAGAAACCAAAAATCAAACAACTTTAAAAGCCCTTCAACGCTCCAACACCTTCAATAAACTTGAAACGCCTGGCGTCTTCAGAGACTTACACGTCCAAGACTTCAGAATTGGGAGACGTCCAATACCATCACGGATTCAAGACGCCCAAAATCTTCCAAGAATCAATGAAATCACATCAAACAGATTTCCAGCCCACCTGACGGCACCGAAGTTGCACATCCGACGACTCCCAGTAGAACACCAGCCCCTCTTGCGAGATGACCGTGCTATGGACCCCCCCAGCCGCAACCGCTACCACGTGCAGCCGCTCCGCTCGGTGGAACTTGAGTGGCGCTGGGCCGCCTTTGCGCGTGTCCCGAGCCACGTTCACGCGCCGGGGCATCACCAGCTTGTGGCCCCACGTGAACACCTGCATCAAGGGTTTCAGCAGGGTTAGGATTCGCAGCCACCAACGGAAGCTGGGGTTTGCGGGAAATTGGTTCAACCTTTTCAAAAAACTGCGGGCTTGGTGGGAGGCCTGCCTTGCAGGTGTCCCGAGGCACGTTCACACGCCGGGGCATCACCAGCTTGTGGCCCCACGGGAAGTCTCGCAACGAGTACTGCGGAGGAACTTATCAGAGTAAGCAAAGGGTGGGAATATTCGATGAAGAACTGGATTTTGGTTGTGGGGATAGGTTTGCTTCTGGAGGAACAGATTGGGTCAGGACGTCGTTTTAAGAACGAATGAGCTGTGAGCTCGAAGCTGATGTAAGTGGCAAATGTCTGCAAGGAAGTTTTGCGAAAATGGAGTCCCCTCGCCTGCGAATTGCGAGACAAGAGTTAAGGCCCTCGAACAGAGTATTTACGCATTGAAGCAGTGAGTCCGTGACCACCAGTCTGCGGGACGCTGCATTCAGAACGACTCTCGACACTGTCAATTTCGTAGGGACCCTGCAGATACGCGCAGCATCTCCTCGTTGTTTCCCACCCCAGACCACGACCAATTCCTCAACTGTGCATTCTCAGCCCAGGACGACCTAGTTTCGCAGCGCTACTCAGGACCGGCTTTCTCCCCACACTTCAAACAGAAACTGTCACGTCCTATTCTCACCTCCCCATCCGCACTCAGTACAACCGTATGGTACTTGGCAACCGAGACCGCCACCAGCTGCTTCCCCTTCATCGCCTCCACGCACCGTGGCACCGAATTCGCGGCCGAGTTGCTCGTTCCGTAGCCCAGCTGACCCTCGCCGTTGCAGCCCCACGTGAAGACCTGGAAAGTGGTAGGTACAAGAGATCCGATTACTACTTCGAGCTCCTCAAACGCGAAGCTAAGTGTTCGATCTATCGTGGGATGACCGGGATTCAGATGTATCATCGTACCCAGTATCTTCCGTACCTAACGCAAAGCAGACTGCCGTTGCAACATCTCGTCACTGCATCTGACGAGCCCGACCAATCTCGGGCCCCTCAAAAACGCAAGGACAGCATGTTGCTTTCGACGGGGTGTTCGATACGTCCCAGAAAGGCGGGGAGTCCAGTGCATTGTCGACACTCGTAAAATTCGCACCCAAAAAATTGCAGACCAGCGCTGCAACATCTTGTCCCTGCGTTGAACGAGCCCAAGACAAATCAATCCCGGGAAACTGCTGAGGAAGACGACGGAGCAAGCCACTCACTCTACCACCAATGGTTTCATTTCACGACCGACTCAGTGTACTGGTACGAGCACAGAAACCCAGTAGTAAAAGGTTTCCCAAGGCCTGAAAGCAGCCTTTCGAAAGAGATTCACCCGTCATAAGCCGATTGCTAGCCGGGAGTCACTCACCTCCCCTTCTTTGCTTAGCACCGCACTGTGCTTGTTGGATGCGGCAACCGCGACGGCGCGCAGGCGGAAAGACGAGATGCGGCGTGGGGTGGGCTGCGAATCGACGGACGTGTAACCCAGCCGACCATCTGGCGACGAGATGGCAGGTATAAGCGGCTGATATCAGCATACTGAATCAAAGAAACCTCTTCTGAGTGCGGCTTCCAAAAATTGTTATAGCTAGACCTGGGCTGGGAGTCGACGGACGTATAGCCCAGCCGACCATCTGACATGAAAGTATATTTGGTTGATACCAGCATACGAACGGTAAAAGTCGAAGAAGAAGGTAAACTACCAGACTCCGTTTTGGTTCTCGTAAACTCCAGAACCAGTGGGGCTTCGGAAAGAGGGTACAGACAGAAGGAGGCTGTGAACCGACAGACGATTAGCTCCGCCCTCGTACTAAAGACGACCCTGATGGGCATCCAAAGATTCAGTATTATCTTGGAGCCAAGCCCTCCGAGGGGATTGCTCAAGAAGCGACTTTACCACACACGTGACATTGATAAGCTACGCGGATGAGACGGGCCTGAAAAGAAAGCAAAAGAATACGAGGCTCGGGGCTTTACCTCTGTTCGATCCCCACGTATAGACCTCGCCGCCTTCGGTAGCGATCACCGTGTGGTGCTTAGCAGCCGCAACCGCCCGAACCTGCTTGCCCCCCAGTCCGGTGATGACCTGGCGCGGGGTGATAACGGCCACCTGCCCACTGCAAAGCGGAAAATAAAAGTACTGCTGAGCCTGTTCACACAACGACCGTCGGCAGGAGGTCTTCGGTGGTGAAACGTCCTGGGGACATTGAATCGGGTGCATGAACCGACTACAATAAGTGCGCGTTCTGGAGAATTCTCAGCGGACCCGTACGTCCAACAGAAGAACAGGCACTCGTCCTGCCAATCCCAAAAGGGAGATTATTGAGTTTTTGACGATCCACTGGACCAAGGAAAACCAACCGTTCTTGGAACAAGGCAGTCCACAAGCGCCGCGCTGCTCATCTGACTCTTAATTTTTAGTACGACCGCTCTGGTCAAAAAATACCTTAATGCCGAAGTTGACAGCCGTTTTGTCGAGAATGCGGTAAAACTCGGTGATATCCTGATTTGCCGCCCAAATCGGACCTTCCTGAGTCGACGTCGAAACCGTCTGCACTCCAACAAACTTTGAGCAGATGTTTCCGGACCTTATGGAGTCCATTGCGGGCCGACAACTCCCGCCAAACCCGTCATTCTTTCGACCCTCTAACTTCCGGACTCCGACTGTCCATTCGAAAGGGTGAAAACAACTGGACTGCCTCTTGTCTGACTTGTCTGTGAAAGTCGGGTAGGCGCTTCTTTAAACATACAAGTCTTTTGAAAGTCTCCTCCGCAAGCCTCTTCAATCTTTTCAAGATGCCAAACTATTACAGAAATGTCATCTGAACTCTCGTTCCGACCAGTCAAGGCCCCCAACAGAAATGACTACATCGGCCGACTTTGTGCCACAAACACCATCCGCATGCATCCCAGAAGGGGAATATCTTCCATACCTGTGGATATGAAAGTCTGGATGGCCCAGCCGGCCCCCCCGCCCAAACCCCCACGTGAGGAGCTCCCCGTCTCTAGTTACCGCCGCGCTGTGGAACTTTGCGGCCGAGACGGTGGAAATCTCGAGGCCTTGCAAATGGTCTAACCGCACCGGCACCCGCTGAATGCCGGCGGTGCGAGTTCCGAGCTGGTAGTTGGTCCCGCTGCCCCAGGCGTAAACCTCGGTGCAAGCTGCAGCACCAGAATTGTGGGGGAATTAGGTCTTGAAGCTCATAGTCAGCGGGCATCGTTTGAAAGGGGTCAGGTCTAGAAGCAAACAGTCTATGGGAATTGCTTTGTAGGCAGTGGGAAGGTATTCAGAACAATGAGGAGACTACCAACATGGTTGTGCAAACTTGATGCAAAGCGGCTTAGCAAATTAGAAAGCCAGAAACACGAGCTACGAACTCCTCTGACGTCAAATGACTCAGTGACGCGCTCCTTGATTCTAACGTCAGATAATAAGGGCACTACTCTGACAGATCCTTTTTTCTGTCCCTGTTCTTTCTTACCACTAATTCAACCATTCTTTCTTCCCCGATGTCCCCAGAAAGACCCATTCGGTTGAAAATGGGCCTGAGAAGGAACCGGTTGGTGTCGTTTTCGCATTTCCTTGACAATTGATATCAAGACTCACTTTCACCGGCGCACGTCTGCTTGACGTCGCCCGATATCAAATCCAGGGGGGTACGCTTCTTGGAGTCCTCAAGCTGGAGCGACGCCCCCCCATCCACGAGCGCTGCAGCCACTGCCAAGTGACCAAAGTGAAGCGCACGGTGGAGACTGCTCCAGCCAGACTCGCCGTCCTGAGGGGTTCAAAGGAGGGTTAGAATCAAGGGTGTAGGCTCTTCTTTTAGCTAACAAGAACTAAGACTTGATGAGTCTATGTCAATTGAAACTGACCAGAAACTGGCAGGTCTGCGTTTTGGATAGCAAAGAAAGGGAGCCAACCGCCACCACGCAGCCGAACCTTTGTAGTTGATCCTTTGGAAATGTTGGAATCCAGATATCAATGACGAAAAAGGGGCTAGCGGCCAACAATTGACTTCTGAAGTGCAAAGCGGTGGTGATATGTAAGGATCAAAGGAGAGCCTCCCAGGCCAATCAGGCGCTTTTGCAGAATCCTTGTTATACGAAATGTACTGCATCAGGATCGAATGTCGGCACACGGGTGCCCCAAACGATCGCTCTACTCAAGCTTTTTCATGCGGAGCTGGAGAGGCTTCCGTAATCTTACAAGAAAGTATCGCTGTAACATGTGGCAATTTCGCACAGCATGCAATGCTGGAAATTCTAGCCTTTCGAAATTCAAGCCCCAACATGGCAGCCGGGCAAGGCGGATCAAGATGAAAAAAGAGTGAAAGAACAGGACAGCCGCCAAACTTTGTCATCAGAACCATCATCGATCTCACCAGATGCCTGCTTGTGTCGCGGAAAGCAATCCTCAAACAACAGATCAAACAGCCGACACCTCTGCGTCCACATATCTGCTGGTTAAAGTAACCCAACCCTAACCACTCACCCTCGCATCTGGGTCAGCCCCCGCCTCGAGCAGGGCGCGCACAATCGGCAGGTGGTTGTGCCACACGGCAAGATGGAGTGCGTTCACACCAAAGACATTCCTGGCGTCAATCCCGTTGCTGCCACTGCCCCTCACCACCCCTGTCAGCGCTGACCTCACATCTGAGACGGTGCCGCTGCGGGCAGCCGTCCAGAGGTCCTGAACCATCCTGGGCCGCGGTTCGGTGCCCGATTATAGGGCTCTCGCGTCACTCCATGAGCGGAAGGGTGGACCAGCCTAGCATAATGGTTGTGCACCCTCATGCAATCAACGAGACCTCCGCCAAACAACGAGTTCAAAAACAAGTGCCCCTTTGTTTGACCCGCGGCAGAGCATTGGAGGTGATCTTCCCTGTCTTGGCAAGCACGCCCACGAAGCCTACTCAGGCTCTGTTGGCGGTGTGTCTAATAGCTTCAGGTAGACAAGTTTAGCCGCTTAAATACGTAGTATGCAGCTGCCTTCATGTGTGAGACAGTGTGACGGACAAGCTGAATCATGCAGAGCTAGCGTCCAACTGTGGCAGCCATTGTGGGTTTGAATTCCAGCAAGCCAAATGAAGTTCGGTGTTAAATCTGGGCCAATCACATCGCGCCACGTCATACCCCCCAGGTACCAAAAGAGTGAAGGTGTCCGGAACGGTCGTACCAGGGGTCGAAACCTGGAGTGGGAGCCGGGTCCGGACCCAAGTGGTCCCAACCCGATCACCGGGCACTCGGAAGCTATGCCAGTGTACTCCTAAGTAATTTACCTTCTCATCCGAAAATTCAAGTACAATGTTGCAGCTTTTGCAGGTATGGCCTTACTTGCATATACATTGGCAATCTGATCCGAGAGGCAAAACTCTGTACTACTAATCTGTTATATTCTCTTCTCCAAGACGTTAATTACAATATTGCATCTTTTCTCAGGTATGGCCTTACATACATACATATTGGCATTCTGATCCGAGAAGGAAAACTCTGTACTATTAATCTGTTATATTCTCTTCTCCAAAAAGTCAGTTACAATATTACATCTTTTTCAGGAA